TTTCCTTCTTAAGTTTGCAGGACTAATTTTTTATTTTCTTGTCAAGATGTGTGTATTAAGAAACACACAAAAAATGATAAATTTTTTAGTTTTTCTTAATTTGCTTGTCAAGAAAAGTATATTAACACACACAAAAAAAAATGTTAAATTTCGAGTTTTTATTTTATTTTTTTGTCATATATGTGTAATAACACACAAAAAATGTTAAATTTTGGAGTTTTTTAATTTTCATTCCAAGATGTGTGTATTAACACACACACAAGAGAATGTTAAATATTTGAGTTTTTATTATATTTTTCTTGTCAAGATACGTGTATTAACACACATATACAAATTTAAATTTTCAAGTTTTTTTATTTTTTTGCAAAGATGTTTGTATTAACACATACACAAATTATGTTAAATTTGCGAATTTATAAATTTTCTTACCAAGATGTGTGTATTAACACACACACAAGGAAATGTTATATTTTATAGGTTTTTTTAATCTTCTTGTCAAGATATGTGTATTAACACACACAAAAAAAATATTAAATTTTGAAGTTTTTTTAATTTCTTGCCAAAATGTGTGTCTTAACACACACACAAGAAAATTTTAAATTTTCGAGTTTTTTTAATTTTTTTGTCAAGATATATGTATTTAACACACATAAACACACAAGAAAATGTTAAAATTTAGAAATTTTTTGACAACCTGTGGGTATTAACACACACACAAAAAAATATTAAATATTCAAGTTTTTTTATAATTTTCTTGTCAATAAGTGTGTATTAATAAACACACAAGAAAATATTTAATTTTTGAGTTTTTTTTAATTTGCTTATCAAGAAATGTATATTATCACACACACAAAAAAATATTAAATTTTTAAGTTTTTTTTTAAAATTCTTATCAAGATGTGTGTATTAACACATACACAAGAAAATGTTAAATTTTTGAGTTTTTGTTTATAATTTTCTTGTCAAGATATGTGTACTAACACACACAAATTTATGAATTTTTTAATTTTTCTTTCCAAGATGTGTGTATTAACACACACAAAAGAAAATGTTAAATTTTCGAGTTTTTTTCTGTGAATTTTTCTTTCCTAAGTTTGCAAGACTAATTTTTTATTTTCTTGTCAAGATGTGTGTATTAAGAAACACACAAGAAAATGTTAAATGTTTGAGTTTTTTTTTTAATTTGCTGATCAAGAAAAGTGTATTAACACACACACAAAAAATGTTAAATTTTGAGTTTTTTTTTTAATTTTTTTGTCATATATGTGTAATAACACACAAAAAAATGTTAAATTTTGGAGTTTTTAATTTTGTTGCCAAGATGAGTGTATTAACACACACACAAGAGAATGTTAAATTTTTGAGTTTTTATTATATTTTTTTGTCAAGATACGTGTATTAACACACATACACAAATTTAAATTCTCAAATTTTTTTATTTTTTTTGCAAAGATGTTTATATTAACACACACACAAATTATGTTAAATTTGCAAATTTTTAAATTTTGTTGCCAAAATGGGTGTATTAACACACACAAGAAAATGTTATATTTTAGAGGTTTTTTTAATCTTCTTGTCAAGATATGTGTATTAACACACATAAAAAAATATTAAATTTTGAAGTTTTTTATTTTCTTGCCAAAATGTGTGTCTTAAAACATACAAAAAAATTTTAAATTTTCGAGTTTTTTTAATATTTTTGTCAAGATATGTGTACTAACACACACACACACACACACACACACACACACAAAAAAATATTAAATTTTTGAATTTTTGAATTTTTTTGCCAACATGTGTATATTAAGACACACACAAGAAAATATTAAATATTCAAGTTTTTTTATAATTTTTTTGTCAATATGTGTGTATTAACAAACACACAAGAAAATATTTAATTTTTGAGCTTTTTTTTTTAAATTTCTTGTCAAGATGTGTGTATTAACATATACAAAATAAAAAGTTAAATTTTCGAATTTTTGTTTATAATTTTCTTGTCAAGATATGTGTATTAACAAACACAAAAAATGTTAAATTTACGAATTTTTCAATTTTTCTTTCCAAGATGCGTGTATTAACACACACACAAGAAAATGTTAAATTTTTGAGTTTTTTTCAATCAATTTTTCCTTCTTAAGTTTGCAGGACTAATTTTTTATTTTCTTGTCAAGATGTGTGTATTAAAAAATACACAAGAAAATGTTAAATTTTTGAGTTTTTTTTTAATTTGCTTGTCAAGAAAAGTATATTAACACACACACAAAAAATGTTAAATTTTGAGTATTTGTTTTTAATTTTTTTTTCATATGTGTGTAATAACACACAAAAAATGTTAAATTTTAGAGTTTTTAATTTTCTTGCCAAGATGAGTGTATTAACACACACACAAGAGAATGTTAAATTTTTGAGTTTTTATTATATTTTTTCTTGTCAAGATACGTGTATTAACACACATACACAAATTTAAATTTCCAAGTTTTTTTTATTTTTTTGCAAAGATGTTTGTATTAACACACACACAAATTATGTTAAATTTGTGAATTTTTAAATTTTCTTGCCAAGATGTGTGTATTAACACACACACAAGGAAATGTTATATTTTAGAGGTTTTATTTAATCTTCTTGTCAAGATATGTGTATTAACACATACAAAAAATATTAAATTTTGAAGTTTTTTATTTTCTTGCCAAAATGTGTGTATTAACACACACACAAGAAAATTTTAAATTTTCGAGTTTTTTAAATTTTTTTACCAACATGTGTGTATTAACACATACACAAGAAAATGTTAAATTTTCGAGTTTTTCTTTATAATTTTCTTGTCAAGATATGTGTGTTAACACACACAAAAAATGTTAAATTTACGAATTTTTTAATTTTTCTTTCCAAGATGTGTGTATTAACACACACACAAGAAAATGTTAAATTTTTGAGTTTCTTTCAGTAAATTTTTCCTTCTTAAGTTTGCAAGACTATTTTTTTTTTCTTGTCAAGATGTGTGTATTAAGAAACACACAAGAAAATGTTAAATTTTTGAGTTTTTTTTTTAATTTGCTTGTCAAGAAAAGTATATTAACACACACACAAAAAATGTTAAATTTTAATTTTTTTTTTGTCATATATGTGTAATAACACACAAAAAATGTTATATTTTAGAGTTTTTTAATTTTCTTGCCAAGATGTGTGTATTAACACACACACAAGAGAATGTTAAATTTTTGAGTTTTTATTATATTTTTCTTGTCAAGATACGTGTATTAACACACATACACAAATTTAAATTTTCAAGTTTTTTTATTTTTTTGCAAAGATGTTTGTATTAACACACACACAAAATATGTTAAATCTGCAAATTTTTAAATTTTCTTGCCAAGATGTGTGTATTAATACACACACAAGAAAATATTATATTTTAGAGGTTTTTTTTAATCTTCTTGTCAAGATATGTGTATTAACACACACACAAAAAATATTAAATTTTGAAGTTTTTTTATTTTCTTGCCAAAATGTGTACACACACAAGAAAATTTTAAATTTTCGAGTTTTTTTAATTTTTTTTTGTCAAGATGTGTGTATTAAAACACACACACACACACATACACACAAGAAAATATTAAATTTTTGAATTTTTAAATTTTTAAATTTTTTTACCAAGATGTGTGTATTAACACACACAAAAAAATATTAAATATTCAAGTTTTTTATAATTTTCTTGTCAATATATGTATATTAACACACACACAAGAAAACGAATCAACCCGATTATCGAAGTTCACAAGGCAAAGAGTGATATACTAGAATGGCTTCAGGCACCCGCGTCATTAACACCTCTCCCTCCACCACTCCCTATCAAGCATCGCTGGAGACGACCAAGCAATCACTCTTTAAAATGCAACTACGATGTTGCATTCAATCCTAGTACTAATCACAGTTCTGCTAGATGGATTGTACGCAACTCAAATGGTCATTGTATCCACCGGGGATCTACTCTCACAGGCAAATCTTCGATAAGCTCTAGAAGCTGAAGGGAAAGCTCTACTGAGAGCACTACAGAACACATGGTTTATATATATCGACAACTAGGTAAATAATATATTTGATATATAGTCTAATGAAAATGTAAAGTATACCGGAACTAAGCTTGAATGAAATGGAGAATTTATATTTTAGATATCTAACAATAGTTTTTTTTTTTAACAATAAACAATAGTTAATAATAATATATATATATATATATATATAAACAATATTTGAAAACATTATATTTTGTCGATAATAGTTAAAAGTATACAAGTCCACACATTAGCTCAGTTTTTTTTTGTCGATTTTTTTTTTTTGAACTTTAATATTTTTTCATCAGTTGTTTAATATATACGAATAGATCGTGATTTTTTTGTTAACGGTGATTAATATTTAAAATTTGTTTTTACTTAAGCCTCCAAATTGCTACCTCATGGCCGCAGCGCATAGAATAAAGGCCATTTATGATTTTTGTAGTTCTAGTATTTTCTTCAATTGTTTAATTAGGTGACTTATGATAAAATCATAAACTGTCGATAACTCTGAGCATTTATCATAACTAGGGTATTTTTTAGACTTAATCTGGCTAGTTTGGTTACATAGATTATCCGTTACCCATATACAGAGTTGAATATGACCAAGTGAGTAAAAGAATGGTATAATATCCGCTGATAAAAACCACCCAATTTTTTCCAAAGAAATAAAAAACTACCTATTTTAAAAATGATTAAAGTCTAAGGAAATTTTATGCGAACAATAGATTTATAAATGTGGGAAAAAAATAAACTATTATAAATTCAATCAAAATTTGTTTGCTAAAGATTTGTTGTCTAAAACTATTTAAAAACACTTGTCTGAAAACGCCATAAATAGCATTTCAAAAATATAAAGTACTTTATGATTCAATAATTACGAAAGGACCAAGGCAAAGGGATTAACAGTTAGGTCATTACATGAGGACACTTTGGTAATTTAGTAGGATGAGTATGTCATCTTGTTCCTCTCCTTTAATTTTCCAGTCTATTGGTCCTCAGCCTCCCTTGGGCTTCAGGTGGCGTTGCTCTATCGTCCCCAAGAAAATCGCTTTTTCCTCTTTCTTTCGATAAAATCTTACGAAGTTAAAAAAAAACACCCCTAAATTTCAGACGATAAGTTCTAGATGATTCGATGTTTTTTTCAGACATGGAGCGAAAAACCCTAGCGACTACGCGTCCGCTTCTACTTACGTCTTTCTTATTCCATCTTCGGTAAAACCATTTGTTCTTTCTTTTCTCACTATTTTTTTCTTCATAAATTTCTGTTTGCCAATCCTTTTTTTTTCCGATGATGGGTCACTGTTGTTTCGTACAGAAGCTTAACGATTTACACAAAAGTTCTGATTTTTTTTTTGGTACATTAAGTTGAAAACTCCTCCTTTCTACTCTCTGCTTGTTCTATCACTAGCTCTAATTGTTCTGGATTTAGTTGGATATTCATTGAAAACTCTAGTCTATGTTATGCGCTTTAATCCGGGTTTTGTTTCGCTATCAATAGGAATAGTCAATCCTCTTTGTCCCTTTTCTGTTTATAGAACTATTTCTTGCTTCTGATTTCTTCAAAATGACATTCTCTCTTTTTGGGTACTATTTGATGATTTCACTTTCTTTTTATCCCTTACATTTCTGGGTGACATTAATTTTATCCCCTACATTTCTGTTTTTTTTTTTTACTTTTAAAAGTAGTTGGTGTATCTCCAAATTACATAATAGATTTCGTTGTTTGTTGGTCTTTTAGGTGTTGTCTTCTTATTGTGTGTTGTGTGTTTGCAGCGGAGCAGCATTTGGTTCATCAAAGGCGTTTCATTGTCTTCTGCTTCTCTCATGTCTATTGCTTTCCTCAGTCAACACATTGCATAACTTGGATGGATATGACTCTTGTGGTTACAACATTGCTGCTTCTAAAGTGTTTCAGAGCTTCAAAGGTGGAGATTCCGAGAGTGTGGCAATCCAGAATGTTTGTCCTAGTTCACACCTGTTCTCTTTGCTTTCAGCTTTAAGATCAGAGAATCAGTTTGATCCATTTGTCCCCTTCTTTGGGTTGTCCTGTCCTAGCAAATCATGGAGTAACTCTGCTCTGAAGACTAACAATCTATCTGGTGTTGTGTGGCTATCTCTAAAGCCTGTCCACATCATAGAGTTTCAGCCTTTCACCGAATTCCTTCACATTGGAGACACCACCACTTGCTACAAACCTTTGTCTAATAAGGACAAGGGAAGAGAGTTAAGTGTTTCGGTTTCGGGGAGACAGTGTGGAGGAAATGGTTTTATGCAGCAGAATCAGTGTGAAGGATTCTCGTTAGAAGCAGGGGATGCCATAAAGTTTCTGTTTTTCTACCAGACCGACTTCTCTTGGGCATCTGGAGTTGCTGTTTTCCGGGTACCTACGAAGGCGACAGCGCCTGTCTTGATGCTGAGTCTTTGCAAAAAAACAGTCTTTTGGGTGCGCACCAAGAAATTCTCCATTGCGGTTCTTATTGCTGCTGCTGCTTTACTCATTCTGATGTTTTGGTTCAATGATCACTTCGTCGACGAGGAGAATGAGAGTAACAATGGCAGTCACGTTGCGGTCAGAAAAGTTGAGAAGCCATCTACCATCACAATCTCCCCTGAAATGGATTCTCTGCTAAGATCCATTAGCAAAGAGTCCAGTGAGGTGTCCGAGAACAGTATAAACCCAATTGCTTCTGTTTCCTCTTCTTCTTGCCAAGCAGAAACATCAGAAGAAGCTGTGAGCCTCACCGTGAAGACTGCGAAAGACAAGAAGAGACGGCGTAACAAGAAGAAGAAGAAAGGAGCAATCAGCGGATTAGCATCCGAGCGCAACGATGTATCAAGCAGCCACAGCGGAAACTCAACTCCAAGATCTCCAATGTCACCAGAACCACCAATCACTCAAGCCGCAGCGAAGCCCGTAAAGCCTCCAAAACCGGCCCTGTCGCACTCAGCAACGTTTCCTGTTTCAGGGGTGAAGTCGATGATCATACAGAGCAGCTCTCTGGCTCCAAATGTGAGAGCCCCTGGTTCGAAATCAAGAACCCAAGTGAAAGAAGAGAAGGCGAAAGAGTATAGGTACGATATTTGGGGAGATCACTTGACAGGGCTTCATTTGATGGATAGGTTTAAGGAAGTGAGAGAAGGCAAAAGCTGCTCAGTCTTTGGTGAAAATGAGTGTGAGAGTTTTTTCGTTAAGGGTCCTCAGAACTTGTTAGCAGACTCTCATGCCAGGCTTGTAAGTTTCTGCAACCAATGGGGCTAATAAAGAAATAAAAATATATTATATAATAATGTGAAGCCCAGTGGGCTTTGTGATCAGGCTTTTGCAACGTTTAGTTCTCGTATGGGCCGGATATAAAGTAAACGTAATAATGCGAAGTCCAGTGGGCTTTATGAAATAAAGAAATATAATATATAATAATGCGAAGCCCAGTGGGCTTTATGATCAGGCTTTTGCAACGTTTAGTTCTCGTATGGGCCGGATAAAAAGTAGAACGTAATAATGCGAAGCCCACTGAGCTTTGTGAAATAAAGAAATAAAGAAATATATTATATAATAATGCGAAGCCAGTGGGCTTTATGATCAGGCTTTTGCAATGTTTAGTTCTCGTATGGGCCGGATAAAAAGTAAAACCTAATAATGCGAAGCCCAGTGGGCTTTGTGAAATAAAGAAATATATTATATAATATTGCGAAGCCTAGTGCGCTTTATGATCAGGCTTTTGCAATGTTTAGTTCTCGTATGGACCGGATAAAAAGTAAAACGTAATAATGCGAAGCCCAGTGGGCTTTATGAAATAAAGAAATAAAGAAATATATTATATAATAATGCGAAGCCCAGTGGGCTTTATGATCAGGCTTTTGCAATGTTTAGTTCTCGTATGGGCCGGATAAAAAGTAGAACGTAAGGGCGGTGGTTATAAAGGTAGACGAAGAAAGAAAAATATCGTTGATAATTGCCATGACTTATTAATTATTTTGGCTAGTAATACAGAAAGAGAAGATTTTTGAGAATAAATCTTCCACACAAAAAAAATGAGAGATTTCATTAACACGATATTCATTTGCTATTAATGTAATAAAAAATATACATAACCAATCTAATTGACTGAGTTAAATCAATGGGAAAATCAATTCATTCTGTTTATTTATTTTTACTTTACTATCTTCTTTTTTAATTTCCAAATAGATACAAAAATATGTAGCTTGATGCATATAAAAAAAAAGGAAGGTTTAACAATAATACTTCAGGTGCTTAACTTCAAAATGAAAATCAATCAAGAAGCAAGAAACCCTACGCAACTACAAACAAACTTGAATAAAAACTCTGCCTCTGACACAGCCTCAGGTAGAACTGTTACCGATGATTTGGCCTGCAAGTGTCCCTACTCTGCGTCTGCGTATGTGTGGCTTATCATGTGCAAGGCACTTGCTCCACGGCTATTGGAATCACTATTGGAGCTGGAGTTGTAGGAGGTATGATGGTTCATGTGTGTTCTGCGAGTGTCCTCACTCTGCCTGTAAATCTCTCCATCTCTTCCGTTGCTTATCATCATATCTGAGAAGTGATCCAAGTCCCTCACTCCGTAGTTGTAGCCACTGTTCGAGCTTGCATGGTGGTTCTGGTATGGTCTCCACTGATGCGTAACGTGTCTATTGGCATGTGGGTTGAAAGATGCTTGTCCCTGCACAGCATTAGAAGCTGGTCTTCCGTTGTAGAAAGCTGGCGGTGGTCTTTGTATTGCTTGGTTTTGTTGCGTTGAATAAGCATATGGGTGTGGAGGAGGATTGCTTGGACGAGGAAAACGTGAATGGGGAACATCGAAAGGAGCGTATGGACGAGGAAGATGTGAATGGGGAACACTGAAAGGAGCGTATGGACGAGGCAGATGTGAATGAGGAACACCGAAAGGAGCGTATGGACGAGGAGCATATGTATGGGAATTGTTGGGACGAAGAGGAGGATTCATATTTCTCGACTGGGTTGGATTCTTATGGCCCTGTGAAGGAATTTGGTTTGGGAAAGCAACATGTGAGTAATTAGCCGGGATGTCTGGTCTAAACCTCTGGGGTTGATTCTCATCATTCTCGTTTTTTCTGTTCTTCATTTGCCAAGGCTTCTTCACATGACCAGGCTTTTGAAGTCTTCCATCTGGTTGGTTACAAACACAGTAAGATCAGTAAAAGAAATCTCATATTTATAACTGGTTTACAAACAGAGTAGACTGAAGGATCTCTCACCTTTTAGTACATATCCCAGCTTTATTTTCCTTTCTCTCATAATTTTTCTTGCTGCGGCACCACGGCTATGCTTTTCAGAGAGAACTTTGACTCTGTCGTCTTCATTAGCCCATCGCTAGATTAAGCAATTCATAAGCAATGATGCAACCGGCAAGACTCAGGACGCAATATGTAGAGTAAAAAAAAATACAACATTTTTCAAGACCACTCACCTGCCTCAAGGTCATTAACCTATAAAGATTTCTCCCCTTCACTAGTAAAGGGTACAAGGGAGGCAATTTCTGTATCCCCTCACACCAAAGCACTTCAATCTTTGGTAAAAGACACACACATAACAAGATGGTTCGTTTATCAGATTGAAATCCAGAATAAAGCAAGGCAACAGTATAGAAAGGACATGATGATGATGATGATGACCAACAACATGTGAGGTGTTAACTTACGGTGAAAGTGTGTTGCTGTTTAGCAGTACCATAGCTTTCTTTAACAACCTGGCCAGCGACAGTTCTTCTCCCCATAACTTTTCCACTCCCTTTCATCTTTTCATACCTAATCAAATCACATAATGATCGTTGTTCTACATCAATACGAGGCCATGCTAATCAAAAGTAAACCATATGAGTTTTAAAAGAAGAGTATATTACTTGTGATGAACCTTCTGTGTAAACAAAACAGTGTCTCCTTTGCAGACATCACCTGCACCAAAAAAAATTTCGCGTTTTGAAGGTTTTCAACACTAAATAAAGAATGAGCAGATCCAGACCAGTAATTACCTTTACAATTGATAGCAAAAGATGATCTTGGATAAAGTGCTTCCCCGCTCCCATCTTTTACCCTGAGAATCAATCATATGAGATCATAAAGAGCACTATTTGCAATTCCGCAGGAGTAGACAAAACTCCATACCTCCAATGCTCAAGAATTCTCTCAATAAAAACTGCTTTGGTGCCAGATAGTCTTAGACCATGCTTTCTCAGATATGCTTTGCATTCTTTTACATTTAGAGCTTTCAAATCACTTCCGCCTACAACAGTACACGAGGGTTTTATCTCATTGATTCAATCATGTTTCTTTAGCATCCAAACAGATCTATGAAAAACTCAAAAATTGAGCAAAACCTGTGAGCAGGCGAGTGACTTTGTCATCATCATCATCATCGCCTTTTTCCACGGTCTCGTCATCTTCATCGTACTTCACATCTGACTCCGTACCATCATCGGGGCTCCAATCGCTATCATCCTCACTGAACAGACCACAAGCACAATCGATATAACCCCCCAAAAAAGTATTAGATTAAAAAAAGCAAAGAAGGTATTGGCAAATACCTTGAACTCGTTTCTTCTTCTTCTTCTTCTTCTTCATCCGTTTCCTCGCAATTATTGTCATCAACGAGATCTTCATATTCCTCCCCCTCGTCCGAGCTACAGAGATCGATGATTACCTTCTCGTCCGCCATGGGATGGAGATCTTTGGGAGAAAATTCAAAATGCAAACGGCTCTTGTGATTTTTGTCGGACTTTAGTAATTTCTCTATTTAAAATCCCGGGTGTCATAGAGAATGATGATGATACCACTTTAGATATTTACATAATTTACCCTTTTAGTTTGAAAAGTTTTGTAGTGGTTACAAATTTGTAAATCTTTGTGTATTTTCCCATTTTTAAAATTCATTTTTTTATATGAGATATTTAAATTCTATATATGCTTTTAGGCAACAAATCTGTGTGTATAATCAAGGATACTGGGATCATAAAAGCCGAAGCTCGTATTTCAAGGGTATACGATGGAGAGACTTTCATAAGAGAGAGATTAATTTGAAGGAAATGGATCAAAATCTAAAAATGATACAGATCCGAAACCAAATGTACACAAGATGTCTGTCGTTTATACACAACTCTCTGAAGCCAAATGAAAAAGAAAAGGGAAAGAAAGAAATAAGAAGCCTCTGCTTTCAAATTCTTCTACCAACCAAATTTTTTTCATTCATTCCAATTGTATGTAATTCCCCTACAACCCCAAACTCTATATATACCTACATTGATACACATAATATGTGCATAAGAATACGCAATAGCTTCAAAAGTTATCATTGGGTTGGTGCGCATCAAAGGTGATCTGAGCACAGATCCTTCCTTCTCCGGTCAGTGCTTGGCTTAGGTCGCTGGGAAAGAGACGGGCTTGGAATTGCCTCGAGAGTAGAACGAGGGGACAGACGGGGAACTGTTCCACTTAGATCGGGAGACCGGTACTGTTGCTGTTGCTGTTGTTGCCAACTTTCACTGGAGAAAAAGAAGTACGCGTGAAGAAGCTGGAGAAAGCCAAAACACATACAGGAACAAACACCACAGAGACACACACAAAAAAACACAAGTTTCGCTCATGTCTCGGTCTTGAACGGGAAAGACTATGCAAATGAAACTGTGATGAGAATGAATACCTCTCCGAGGATGTCACGTTTCTAGCGCGCGGAACTTGATCTAGTTTGAAATTTGGTTTCTCCCTCCTACTGTTTGGTTCCTGACAATGCAAGTAGAGAGAGAGAGAGTGGATTATTATAAATGACAAAGACGACTGTCAATGAGAGAGATATGCACGCTTGGATTGAGGTCTTGCTCACCGTGATGTTCATCCCGTTAAATAACTGGGAGCAATTTGAGACATCGCTGTTGCGTGGTGAGGTTGATTGCAGAGAGTTCTTTAGGAACCGGTGTTCTAGCAACATAGATGCGGTTGGTCGCTCAGCTGGATTTCTCTGGAAACATGATCTTAGAAAGTCTTTACCCTCTGCTGACATCGATTCAGGTACCGGTGGGCTATCTCTCATGACCTTGAACATAGCTGCAGCCTATATGATAAGGCCAACAGTTTTTAGATATTCTGGAGAAATCCATCTTTAGTGTAAGACTATAAGGCGTATGGATGTGCATGCTTACCCCTTCAAACTCACTCCACGGAGGCTTCCCAGTGTACATCTCAATGATTGTACATCCTAAACTCCATATATCCACCGCAAAAGCGAGATCTGGGTTGCTATCTTTTTGCATCACAGCTTGCATGAGCTGTGTGAGTACAATAATTGATCAGTATAAATATATAGGTTTATAGATTTTAGTGAAGTTGAGAAATCATCGAGCAATGGACTACCTCTGGTGCCATCCAGTACGGGCTTCCCTTTAACGAGAGATCAGCTCTTTGCCCGGTAAGCTGAAGAAGATAATAGCAACTTTGTTATTACCAAACTGAAACGAAATCACTTGTTTAGCTGAAGAAAGCATAAAGAACTCACGTGTTTAGCCATGCCGAAGTCGGCAAGCTTGACAACACCAGAAGCATCAACAAGGAGATTAGCACCTTTGATATCCCTGGTGAACATATTTTTATAAAAAAAAAGGGAAACCAATATTCTTATTGACCTCAACATATTCATCACCAAGATTGATTACACTAATATCGTGACGTGTGTTACCTATGTACAGTCTTTTTGTTGTGCAAATAAGCCAGCCCGGACAAAATGTGACGAGTAAAATTGCGAACAACAGATTCTGTCATGGTACCGCCGCCATGGTCACGGATATATTTGTTGATTGAACCAGGGTGAACATATTCCAGGTATATAAAGAACCGATCTTCTACCTGCACATACAATACAACACACAATTAACTCAACAGCCACACTGCACTGGGTAAGGTAGATTATATGCATATAAACAGAGGATATACTCACTGTCTCACTTCCAAAATACTGCACAATGTTTGGGTGTTGAAGGTTACTGAGAAGTTTAATCTCCTGAAACAGAGACAAGTTATGAGAACAAAGGAACAACCAAACATTGAGGGGAGGGCATTGCCTCTCGTGGAACTTACCTGCTCTAATTGCTTTATACACTCTGCAGATTTGGGGTCATCAGGAAATAACTCAACTTCCTTCATCGCACACAGTGCTCCAGTCTCGCTGCGAATATACAAAAACCAACTTAGAATTATGCATAAAAAAAAGAACATTGCAACAAGTGTAGAAAAGACTACCTGTTGCTGGCGACGTAAACACTTCCAAATGTACCACGACCTATCAGCTTCCCTTTCTTCCACTGAGAATTCATGGGGAACGAATCCAGTTTGAGAGGAGCCTGCGGGGACGGAACAGAGGCAGCTGCTGACGAAGAAGAGGCTCCGGGAGGGAGAGGCAAAGGATGGACATTGGAGTTCTCACGGCGTCCGTTCGTAACATCAGTGGACAGCCTCGGATGCAACGGCGAGGAGACGCTATCCCGTGAGCGATCGGGCGATAGCCTCGCGTGCAATGGTGAGGATGGGCCGCTCGGCTGTGGGCTTCTGGTCTGTCTGTGTGGGCTTCGAGGCCGTGGGCTATTGATGGGAGAGTTGTCTGTACTAAACGCAGACAGGTCGTAAAATGCAGGAGGAGGAAGCCCAGAGGTGTCGAGTGGCATCTCTGGAGCAGACCATGCTTGGTTGCTCTTCGGAGGGAGATAGAATAAAGGCAAATCATGGCCAGTACTCTTCCTCTGAGGACTAGGCACAGGACTCATGTACGGACTCGTTGGAGCACTCATGGTTGGAATGTTCACCCAATAACCATTTCTGCCTCTCGGACTATTTGTGCAGCTGTAGTCTTGATACGGAGAATTCTCCGAGGCTCTTCTCGGGTCACGGGCAAAGCCATTGCCGCTGATCACAAGGTGAAAAAGATACAAACATACTCAGGTTTCTAACACGTATGAGCAACAAAGGGGCCGTTTTGGTATCCAGATTCGTATTCGAACATTTGCCAAATTGAATTAAATCTCCAAACCCTAACTGAAAATGAGAGGACGAGCTAGCAAAAAACTCACCTGGTGAGAGGAGGACCAGACGAGGTGCGATCGGCAGTAACCCTATCGGGAAACCGATCTCTCTCCTCCGGTCCTCTACCGTTTCCGGCATTTCGATTCCTCGAATCTCCGGCTGCGACCTCGGGCAACGGGAGAGGCAACGGCAACGGAAGGGCAGAAGGCGAGCGAGGAACCCCCGTGTAAGCGCTGGGAGAACGACTTAACCCGGCGTCGACGGTGGAAGAAGACGTAGAGGCACGACGTTCTCCCAACACGTCGTCATCCGTCAAGTGACGGAGCTTCCTCTGACGCGTGAGCCTCCCACGGTTGAAACGAAACAAGCGGCGATGGAATCGATCCCGATCCAGATTCCGATCGGGATCCGAAGATTCAGAATAAGAAGCCACCGGTTTGAGAGAAGAAGACGGAGAGGATGACGGGGACGAGAACGAGATTTGCGGAAGCCAGCGCATAGCGAGAAATCATGGTATGCTCATACGAGATCTACACATGAATCCTCTCTCTCTCTCCCTCTTTCTTATTGCCGTGGATGAACAAGATTAGAATCGACCTGAAAGACGGAGATGGAGGCGATGGCGATGAGCATCCATGGAAAGTACCCAACGGATTTAACAGAAAAAAACAAACAATACACAAAAAGGAAAGTAGTAAATTGAAGAGAACCTGAAAATAATAACCAAGATGGATGAATATTAGGATTTAGGACCAATTATTTGGGGAAATTATCGACAAGACCAAAACCTTGAGAGGCGGTTGGGTTTGTGTTTGTCTAACACGGTTTACTACGGCTTTCTTCTATCTTTTATTTTGCTTATTTTTCTCTTGCTTATTTTTTTCAGATTTTGGTTAGTTAATCTTTTATACTCAAAGTATATAATAAGACAATCTCAAATTGTATGTGAATTATATCATCCATAAAACTATTCTTATAATTTTGTTTTATTATTTTTTATAAAAAATTAACAAAAACATAGTAAAATACAAGTTTTTCATTTAACATAAAACGTGAGATTTCATTATTAGAAAATTCACAATAAACACATGGTCACTTTGCTATCGTTTGACCTAAATCAAGCACCCATAAGATGAAAACAAACAACAAATAATTTTATGAGCCTACTACTACGACATCATCTATTTAAAAGATGGATCCAATGAGTTATTTACTCGTTGGACAGAAAAAAAAAAAAAAAAAAAAAATGATATAAAATCTATATATTCGAAAGTGTTACTTTTATCACAGAAATAAAAGTAAGTGTAAAGTCTATGATGTGAAAGGGAAAAATGAGTAAGAAATAAAATTAAAGAAAATGTCAAATAGAGCCGACTCCGATGTAAAACCGTACGGTACGTAGCATTGACCAAATTTAAACCTGGTTTAGACCAATTTAACCTTAGTCATATTTAGTCCTTAGTTTATTTAACTAGACTAGTCACCTTCATACATTGTTATCGTCAACTAGCTTTCGATTTATCTTACTTGATTTCTGATATTTGTAACTCCATTTTACTCCGATTATATCCCGATTACCTAAACTAGGCAGTAGGGCAAGAAGCGTCCGTTGGAATTATTTTTTTGCAAATTTAAGTCAAGATTTACAAACCCAATTAAATGCACTAGCATTACATTTTAATTGAAGGAAGAAAATTCTACCCAAAAAAAAAATTTGTCACGTAGCAAGATCAGTCAACTGTCAAAGCTACAAAAATCAGCTGGACTATTTATCTAATTTTAAAACGGAGATGTATCAGAATATATTCTATTAACTAGCTTGGTAATAATGTTTCGGATCTATCCCTAAAATTGAAGCTGATGAAAAAGAAACTGAAGTTGAGAAAAAGAAAAATCGATTGAAATTTCGAATTCAAGCAATGGAAGATTCCGAACTCGTCGTTCTGGGTCAACTGCAATTTTTTTTGCTTTGATTTCACAAACAAGTCAACGGTCAAAGAAAACCAAAGAATACGTGGCTAAAGCTTCTGGTCACAACAAATGACACGTGACATTCTTAGTACCCAGTTTCCACTGTTATGGACCAAGTCGTTGGCTCTTATTTCAGTGTGAAGGACCAATTCAATCACGAGACCGGCTTCGCAACCAAACCGATATAAACCCGTCTAATTGCAAACAATTCTACTTCAAACTGGTTCGAGCACTTGCGGCAATCGGATATTAGTAAAGTATATACATACGAGAAGATGCAAAAACAGATATTTGACCAGTAGCAGCAAAATTCGAATTGAACCTGCTTCGTTCAAAAACACAACAGCAGCCAGAGGCTTTAGGGCTCTTTTCACTTGAGGGTTTACAGAAAGAAAGAAAAGTTATTCTAAAAAATTGTTTCTTAACCCTGTAAAGTTCGACAAATGATAATCTTATGGAACGGTAACTTCAGAGAGAGATTACATTTCCAAGGACTTATCTTATGCTTGAACCGTTTCTGGTTCTTTCACCGGGCTTGTGGCAGCAATCTTACACACAGGCAAGGTTTCATTCTTGCTCAACAGCTTCAACGATGGATGAAATTCAACTTCTTGCATTAACACTTTGTCATCGATGTCGAGATTGCTCACATCTACTTCAATTTTCGATGGAATGCGTTCCGCTGGGCCTACAAGTTTCAGGCTGCTTCGGAGTGACCGTAAGTTTCCCCCTGGTCACATCAACAGATACTCAGATTGAAATATCAACATAACCAAACAGTAACAATGAGCTTATCTATATCAGGCAATGGTACAACATTCAAAATCCCCATGCTATAATGATATACACAAAAACATTCCTGAAAGTAATCTATTCCCAATGTGAACTAACTGAAAAAAAACTAAAGTGATCTACAGGTGAAAAACCACAAATATATTCAGTATCTTGCTTCTTAATTTTGTTGCCATCGAAACACAGACATTACTGATCTGCAAAGTTCTCTTTAACCGGAAAAAACGGAATTTAAACTATATTTGACGAAAATCTTCAAGCATCAAGAACAATACAAGATGTGAAATTTGATGGAAAGGGAAAGAGTGTAACCTTTCTTCAGACCAGGACAGTTTTCTAATCCTTTGAAAACAAGAGGAACATCAACCTTTAACTGCTCTCCATCACCAGCCCATACGAATACTAAGTTAAGTATCTTTCCAGCTTCGTCTCTGTGAATCTAATAAAAGTAACCAAACCCATATTAGTCCCATTCATCTCGCAGTATTCGTAATCTTAATGCATCACCAATCTATTGGTACTAACTTCACCAAACACACACGATCACGTTTTCGTATTTTTCTGAAACCATGATATGATGGAGACTGACATTGAAACAGGTGAAAATGGGAATACCTTGAGTGGAAGTACTCGACCCGATTCAACTAGCGTCGATGAACCCTGCCCAGCTCGGATCTGGAGCTTGAAAGTGGTCGAGCAGAAGAACGGGAGACCTACAGAGTCAACAATGGACTTAATCTGCTTCCTATCTGCCGTCAAAAGCTGCTTCCTCGAAACGCCTCGCTTCGAAGAGTCGGTGTCAAGCAGCGACTGGGGGAAAACCACCGCTGGAATCCGGCCAATCGTCCGATCGCGAGCCGATACTCTTCGGCCCGTAGCCTCGCGTGGTATAGCCTGGATCGTCTCGTACTGATGTAAACACCGAATCGATCGACCGAATGAATACGCCGGTAGATCAGCCACCTCCGCCGCGGATCTCAGGCCGCGCCACCATTTCGCCATCTCTGTTGGTTAGAGATTGAGTGACGTTAGGGTTTTTTCCCCCATCAAACTCAGGCGATGGAGGGGTTTAAGCTTTGTGGGCTTTCAATGGTATACACTAATTTAATATTGGGCCTTTATTGGCCCAAGTGACAAAAAGCTTCCATTTGTGTATCATTTTATCCAAAGTGGAGTATATTCTACATTCATTTATTTGATTTGTTTTTAATTTGTGTGCAAAACATTCATTTACTTGTTAAGATTCGATTATAGGAGCCAGCTATGAGAAATATTTTTCGTTGTTTTTCTTGGTCATTTGGTTTTTTTTTTTGTCGAATTCTTGGTCATTTGGTTATGTAGGGGAAAATTGAAGGAAAAACATTTGTTAAAATGAAAATGTAAATATCGAAGACCCAAAATCTTATATGAGGATTCGTTTTTGTATATCATTTTGATACATCATCCAGCATTATAATATTTCGATGTTTGTTATGTAGATACGATATTAAACACACAAGCCACATTTTTTACTAACATATTTGGTCGTGCTTTGTCTTTTTCGTAATAACAACATTCTTTCGTTGTCTTATTCTGATTTTTCCAAGCCGTATCAGTATGCAGTTGCTCACACGCTAAGCCTATTTAGACCAAAACACAAATGTGCACACCTTCTATAATTATTAATTTAACTTATTTTCTTACCAACCAACATTTTTTATATACATATCTCCACATTACTTTGGCTCTGCTCTTCTTCTCGTTTTACTCATGAAAATTATGTAGCATTTCGAATAGAACTATATTTTTAACAGGGTATGGACGTAGATTATAAAAACAAATTGGTGTTTTGGCTGAAAAGCCTATAAAATTATGTGAATATATATTTCGAAAATATGTGCTTTTATTTTGTCTCGTGATTAATTAAACTCACCAAGAGTTTTAATTTGTTTACGATTTCATTTTAGTCTTAACTACACGTATGTCGTTTAGCTAAACTTTTTCCTTTTCTTTAACCAGCTTAAATTTTCCACGTACTATTTAAATTTACATTATAAGTCTAATATAATTGGTTATTAACTGCTGTTAGCATAATTGGTTTGAATCGCCTAACGTAGAAAATCCCAATAGTACCTTTAAAGTTTTTTTTTTTGGGTTAGATGGCAACGAGAAGGGAGACAATCAGAATATACAATATAAAGATCCAATAACAATAATATCTGGCAAATGAGAGACGGTCCAGTGCACGTGACAATGTCCAATCAGAGCAATGATAAAGTCAACATGCTGACGATAATATAACAAACCTAACGAAGCATTAACTTTGTATTCATGTAAAGCAACTTCACAAGTGACAAGATTAAATAACCAAGGACAAATAAAAAAGTATTTCAAAATAAGACCCTGCAAGCAACTAAAAAAGCTTTGAAGTTTGAAATATTAACCAAAACTAAAAGTTTAGTATGAGAGTCTCATGAACTGAAATGAGCCATGAGATAATAGATGTGTTTATTATTGTTATTGTTTTGTTTCTTCTTAGATGGGCCCTCTACATTCTTCTCTTGTTATTTCAGTAATGCCATCGGATTTGCACGAACGAAACAAGTTTTGTATTATAGAGGTCTACGTCTTAAAGATCGGATCTCAACTCCTAGATTTTATTTTTTGTTTCGTATTTGTTATTTTTTTTTTTATGGTGAATGGGTTTTAAAGCTCGAATATTTTTGCTTAACTATTGTAAATGACGTCAAGCTCAGAAAATATGTTATGAAATTTATATATCCAAGATTAAGATTGAGTTGGAGGAGAAAAGCTGAATTAAAAATCTTGTTGTTTAATTTTATTTTGACAAAAATAACATAAAATCAATTTTGCTAGATTTTACGAAAGTAAAGTTAAAAAAAATCAAAAATCAAAACTTAATTGTATAAAGTATAATAACGTAGAAAAGTGCCGCTGTATACCAAAAACTAACGTCAATTTGTACGTATATCTTATTTTCGTGTGCGATTTTTCTACGCCTAGGTTTCATAAAACTCAACGAAACAAGCGGGAGAAAAAAGTGAACCATTGATCTATGGGTATTTGTGCGACTTCGAGTTTTTTTTTTTCTTTTTAGTTTTCTTTGTCAGCAATTACTTTTTTTTTTCTTAATCTGTAGTAGTAGTAATTTCTTATCTGTAACTCCGATATAATAACTTTAATAATTGAGATTTTGTGTGCATTGTGGCTAAATCTAAAGTGTTCTGAAGAATCTTGTTCGTTTTCAGGAAAATATTTAGTGAAAACGCATATCTGTTTAGACGTAAATTGCATAGTTTCTGTTCACTAACATAGACATATCTGTTTGAGCGTAATTTTAATGTCTGGAATTTAAATTCTAAAGTATATAAAATATCAAAAAATTTCAGAAGTTTCGAATCCTACACAGTTATCCTATATATTTACTACATATTATTTGGAAAGTAATATTATTGAAAATAGCTTATTTGTCAACACTACAACCAAAATTAGTGCTTTTAATTGATGACATATGAATGTGATATGTCAAACTTCCTAAAATAAATAAAATATTTTGATTGGTTGAATTAAACTTATAATTATGGAATTAAAATATAAATAAACTAGATTACATTTATAACACTAAAATTAACAAATTAAAATTAACAGAAAATAAAAGTTATTATAATTTTAATTTTTTACATATATTCATAATTTCATAAAATATAATTATGAATTTTTTCAACAATATATATATATATATTATAATTTCACATAAAAAAAAATATAATACTAAATGATCCAATAGAATAGTAAAAATTTGATTTATTAATAATACTTGAAGTATGATATATTTTTATATCGCAAAGTTATTAATTTACAAAATATAATAATAACATCTAAACAAGTTCTAGATAAAAAATTATTAAATAAAACAATTTTAAATAAAATACAATCATGATAAAAATAATTTAAAGAATAAAATGTTAAAATAATAAAATAATTAACTTTTATTGAAATGGTTTTAAAAAATATAATTTTAAATAATTTTATTTTCAAACTGATATTTACTAATTGAATAAAATATATACTAATTATTATTTTATAATATTAATATGACCATATATTTTTTTATAACTTTTATCATCTTTTTATTGTTGCTTTCTAAAATGTACATAACTTATGTTATCATCTCGTTTTATCTCTTATCATATTTTAAATAAAATAATAGCATATGCATATATATATATAAAAATTTATTTTCATTGTATATAAAATTTTTGAGATAATAAATGAAATAAAAAATAACCGAGCGAAAAAACAAATTATAATAAGATGAAACAATATGAATCAGAAATAAAAATAAAGTGTATAAAAGTAAATTTCTCGCACTTTGTTTTACAAAGTCACTTAAAAACTTTTTAACACGTAAGAGGCATATTTTAATTTTTTACAAATACGCGTACATACATATATATTAATTGTACATTAGTTGAAGTTACATGCGAACTTTTCCGTGCATGTATTTTGTCAAGATTGATTACAATCTAATTTTTATTTTAATTATTATACAATTTATATTTTAAAAAAATCTTTATCTATTCTAAGTGTAGTGAAGTGGTTGGTATGCTCGCACTTACGTGCCAATTATCTATCTGCTCTTAGGAATAAGTAAAAATGGTAAAAACTATTTCAGTTTAATTTGCAATAAATCAAGAAAAATATATACTTAAATATATTATATATATATTTGCAAATTCATATTATGTAAGACGCAAAAAACATATTGTAGATTGTGTAAAGAAAAATAAAACATATTATAGAAATATTTAAAAAATATAATAAAAATTTAATTATTATTTAACATAACTTTTATATTTGTGATTATATATTATTACAAACATTATAAATATAAAAAGTTTTAAAATATGTTGATTTCAGAAAAAAGTTTGTGAAATATTAAAATAATATATATATACAAACATACCAATATTTAAAAAAACTAATCAATATTTAAATATTACAATTAATTATGTATATCAAAAAAATTATACTTGTACATATGTGCGGGTCAACCACCTAGTATATATATATATCCCCCGATAATGAGATGAAAACAAATTGCATAATGGAGTTAAAAAAACAAAAAAAAAAGAAGTCCATGCGGTAAAATGTTGACCTTACGTTGGCTGTGTTGATTATTTTGGTTCTGGCGCACGTGCGGCAACTCATAGTGGGCCTGCAATGTAATTACAACAGTACCCCTGCTAATAGTCAAAATTTGTTAGTATTTTAATTCGATAGTATATATTTTGCTACTTTTAGGCGCAACGAGAACATTACTTTGTTCTACTTCAAGCTCAATTGTCAATCAATTTTTTTTTGTACTTTCTTTTTACTAGTCAATAGTACTCCGACGTGGTTAAAATTTATCAGCAATGAATACTTAGTTACATTTACTTTACGATTTTTTCATAGTAAAATTGCATTCGATAACAAAGAAATTAAATAAATTATCAGTGATGAAACACACAACCATGTGCAACATTAGGCTTGTGTTGAACATAACGAAGCACTTTAATTCATTCTCCAGTTGGCATGTGACCTTAATTATCTACTAAAAATATCGATTGTGACATAAAAAAAAAATTAATCTATGTTAAATATTTGATAGTTAAACGATTCAATAATTGGACGTTGGAAAATTGTTATAAATATGGGAAAAAATAAAAACAAAATGTTTTATTCGTGGGGCTGACTTTTTCAGTAACTGTTTAAGATTTCGTATCAGTTTGAGATTAGGAGAGGAAAAGGACTTATCTCGAGACGAAGACAGCAGTAAGAGGGTAAATTAGTCAAAATCAAATGAAATAATACAGGGGCAACACTGTAATTACGCACGCGGTTGCTTAGAATCAAAAACCCCTAAATAATAATTATGAGATCGGACGGCTGTAAATATACCTCTCTTTTAATCTCAACGGCTTAGCGGCTTATGGCGTACTCGTTAGTATAAAAGATAGTCTCCGTCATTAGAAATGCCTCCCTTTTTTTTCCCTTTTTCTTCTTTTTTTTTTTTTCTCTTCGTTTTATAAATCTTCGGCCTTAGGGCAGAATAAATCGGAGGTCAGATCAAAAATCGGGGTTTTCTGGGTTTTTTCAGAAACCCTAGAACACGTTTAATAACTTCTTACTCACTGTACATATCTCTCGATCGATCATGGAATCAGGTGATGAAGAGAGTGAGATACGAAGCTAGCGAAACAAAATCAGAGAGAACAGTTTTTTTAGAAAGAAGAAAGATTCGTATTTTGATTGAGGTAAGACTGATTTTTTTTCCTTTTTTTGATCGATGATTTGATTCTGTTAATAGTTTGATTGACATGGATTGATTTTGATAGATTTTTCTTTTCTGTTTAATTTTTTAATCATTTATGATGATTTATATTTTGTGGTATTTTGAAATCTGTTGATCTTCCTCTTTCTTGACTACCCATAAACCCTTTTTTTTTAAATACAGGAAAATGAAAATTTATCTTCTACTAAACAGATCTGTAATCAACTATTGAAAGTCGTAAGGTCGCCATCATCTCGATTCTGGTTTGTAACCATTTCTCGTTTTCTCTTCTAATCATAGATATATTGTTTATAGTTTTACCACTAGTTTCTTTTCAAAAGTATGATTTTATTTTTGTTTCACTATTCTACTAACTGGTACGGAACGTTTTTTGTATGCACGAATCACGATAACAAGATTTTTTTTCTCTCAATGTTATCCTCTAATGACAGTGACACGAAGCTTCCTCGATGCATTTACTTTCACGATCCCTATATTTTGAAGAAAACTTTTTTATTTAATTAAAAGAAATTTGAATCTTTTCCTTCTTCCAGGCTTTTCCAGAAGAGAGAGAACGAAAATGGCGTCTTCAAGCTCTCCATGCGCAGCTTGTAAGTTTCTAAGAAGAAAATGCACGCAAGAATGTGTATTTGCTCCATATTTCCCACCTGACCAACCTCAAAAATTCTCATACGTTCACAAAGTCTTCGGAGCAAGTAACGTCGCCAAGCTTCTCAACGAACTCGCCTCTAACCAAAGAGAAGACGCCGTTAACTCTCTTTTCTACGAAGCCGAAGCTCGACTTCGCGATCCGGTTTACGGTTGCGTCGGTTTAATCTCAATCCTTCAACATCGTCTCAAACAGCTTCAACACGATCTTGAAAACGCCAAGAAAGAACTCGCTGCTTACGCTGGTCCTCAAGCCATGCTTCCTATTCTCCAAACGCAGCATCCTCAACCGCATTTCATGTCTCTACCGCCGCAACCGCAGCGACCGTCTTCTTCCTCGGCGTCTGTGCTGACTCAGCAGCATCATCATAATATGTTGCCAATGATGGCTATTCCAACTGGACAATTGTACCATCAGCAGCAACAGCAACAACAACAGATTTTTGAGGCTCAACAACTAGCAGCGGTTAATGCGGTTGCGAGAGAGCAACATGATGAAATGTTTAGAGCTTACGGAGGAGGAGGCAGTAATAATAGTCCACATCATCATCAAAACCAACCTCAGGTTGAGATTTTGAGGTTTAATCATGGTTTTGACTCTGTACCAACCGGCTCGGTTACGGTAACCGGATTTAATCAGTTAAGCTCCAGCGGTACAACTGTAACCGGGATGTCACCGTCTTTGGCTCTTGGTGGTAACTTTGTTGATAGTCCTCCAGCGAATGATAATTATCATACGGATCAGCAATTACATCATCATCAACAGCAACAACACCACGAGGCTCAGCTATTCATACCTACACAACCTTCTCAACCGCTACCGCTTCAAACGCAGGAGACGCAGACGCAGCCGAATTCAGAGAGCGAGGAGGGAAGAAGGAGTATCATTGGTTCATCTCGGTAACTAATAAAACAAGAAAGTGAGAATTTTTTTTATGTAAAAAAAAAAAAGATACGGCCTTTGACCTTCCTCGCTTGCTCAATCACCTCAAATTTTCCTTAATTCAAGGTACGTGGAAAAAGAAAATATTCAAATTTTAATTTCCTCGCTAATAATAATTAGGGTTTCGATTTTGTTTCATTTTTTTCTGCATTTTGATTATTCTTTATGGTATAGTATAGTACAGTTACAGTGGTACAGAGGAGGTTTTGGTTTATATAACATTTAATGATAAAGCCTTGTCATTTCTTCAATAACTTTTCTAGCTAGTTCTTCTAGTCATGTAGCCCATATTTTTAAACTTCCTTTTTGTTGGATTCTCTGAACAATAATGCATTAACTAACCTAGTTGTTTATAAAAAGTTTTTAAATTCATGGTGGGTCACATCACTTCACTGATTTCTTGATCTAGACTAGTGTAGTAATTTTCGATATCAATTTACCTAACACAGGGATCAATTTTGTAGCTCAAGAGTCTAAGATTTGCTTAGACCTTTCTGTCTGGAAAAATCTTTTCAAGTCTTGTCTCGGTAGATACACTTTCTTCATCCATATATTAGCTTCAGTCACATCGACCAAGTTCTTCATATTAATTTTATTATCGTTTCTTTAATTTGTCTTGGATACATTGCTTTTATTTTAACTTATTTTCTCGACTTTTATTGCAGTTGAAAACTCTGACTTTGCTCAAGGCATTACGGACACGATCGAGATTTTCTTACTTTCTAATTTTGTCGCACTTCCAACAGAGAAAAGACATTCTGCACGTAAAAGTCAAACGACACAAAAAAAAAGTCAACGTTATTTCGTTGATTTTGAGTTTTAGTGAAGAGGTTAACCCAAAAGCCGTATCAAATTGAACAAAAGATATTCACTCCATCGCTCCTCCTGTTTTTTTTCAGTACGGAAACAGTATTATTTTACATTTTCTTGTATTTCTAAATTTTGACTTTTTTTTTGGTTTTAAGTAAAAAAGAGAGATATTAGTGTTTTTGGATGCACTTCTCTTTGTAAATTACATGATTATTAAGAGGGGCTCACTTGGCCAAGTGGTTTATCATAATCTCAAGCCAAATTAAAAAAAAAGGATACTATCGAATAAGCCATCTTTGTTTTTCCCGTGTGTTTTCATTCCTAAAAATCTAAAATAATTGTTTGCTTGGTTAGATGGGTTAATGCCTTTGAGCAGAGTCAGAGTTTGAGTCGCAACATCGAACACTTTTTTGGGTTAACAATTGACATCTTGGAGTTTTTGCACGATTATTGTAAAGAAATGTCATGTATGCATATTGATTTCGAGCACCGTGTTGTAGTAGTATTAAATTTGACACACCAAAAAAAAACGAACGAAGTGAAGAAAATTAATTAATTTTGATAAACAAACGCGTATAATTATCATCAAGTAGATGACGCTAAAGAAGTAGTTAAGTGTGAATGCTTGGCAATTAAGATTGTGTTGGGTCATTTATTAACACTCTTTGACCACTCATCAATTTAATTTTGGCTCTCTCTTCCATAGCATTTTCCTCTTCAATACTACCATATTTCCTCTTTTTATTTTATTTTTATTTTTATAAAGTATCCCTTAAGAAGACATCAACATCTATTATATTTATCACTTTTCTTTTGAACAACATCTATTTCTCACTTCTTCGTTTTCAAAAGTATTATACAAGTAATTGAATTAACAACGGCTGAGAATAATTATAACATCATCTAAAATATATATCAGTCATGCCAATCTAAAGAACTAACTTTTCATTCCCTTAGACGTTCGACCATAGCGTGATCACATATATCAGTAGATGTATGTGTGGATGAGCTTTAGATATTTAACCTGATGGTTCATGAGAAACATGGATACTTAATGTGCATGTGCATGTGCATGTGCATATAATAGTATACTAATCTCAGCAGTAGGATGCTTAGTATAGCAATAAAGAGAAGGTGGTGAAATTGATGAGCATCGGTCATTAAATTAAGCACTGACCCATTAATTGCGCACTTACCCATAAACCCCATTCACTCCTTTTTATTAACTTAATAAAATTATACTCCACACAGCTATCTCTTTCTCACTAGTCACTAGTGTACTTTCTTGGTACTCTTAGAAATTAAATGGCTCATGTCGCAATAATTTCATATGAAGATTTCTAACTAGGTCAATCCAACAACCAATTTAATAGGACCGTCCTTAGTGAATTCTAATTTAAGAGTGTCTATATATATGGACCGACAAAATCAATAAGCTAAAGTTTGACTGTATCATGGATATATGATAATATGCTGCGATACATCCAATCAATCATGGTACAAGTAGGCTGGTCTATTAGATTCTTTGAAGGCCCAAATACATTTTCTGTAACAAACAGAGGCCCATCAAACCTAATAGAAAAAAAAAATTAAACTTATAAATAATGCATAGCTAGGAAGTTGCCACGTCGCTGTCAGTGTCATCCTCATCACAGTCTTCACCACTCCGCTTCGCGCGAATTATTTGCACCTCTTGTCTCACACCGTCACACACCGTCTTTGGAGCTCCGTTCCGTCTGGCATTCAGTGTCTACATTTTATCGCCGTCAACAAACGGCACAATGCTAGCGAATATTCTTTCATCACATGGCCGCTTGTTCAACACGTGACTTTGAAGCTTATGTTTCCTTCTGATCTAAGGTATTCATATTTTTTAAAAATAAGGAAAAGGGAAAAATATCTCTACTTTTTTTTAAATGATCTGTTTTTTTCATTACAACTACTATTTTAATATAAAAAAAGGGTGAAAAGGAAAGAAATCGAAACGGATAAATACAGAGAATTTAGAGAGAAAAAAAGGTTGTTTTTTTTAGCCGACAAGGACGAGTGAAGTCGCGCTTTTTTCTTTTAGCATCACTTTTACTTTTATTAAATTTTTGTTGGTGTAGTTTCTTCAGAAGCAACATCAATCATCAAAACGCGGCGGCTCTTGTCGTATCAACCAACAGAACGTTGTCGTTTTGGGATTATCCTTATCTCTTGGGGCGACCAATAATTGCCTTTATTGATTTTTTCTTCTGCTCCATTTCTCCTTCTTCTTCTCTCATTCGCTCTTCACTTTTCTTCCTCTTGGAGAGATATATATTCCTTTTGCGAATCTTCCTCTTCCTAGATTCCAGCGGCAACAGATTCTAATTCGGGGGAGGTTCGTACTGAGTGGAGGATTTGGGCCTCTGATGTGATCGGCGAGTTAGAGGAAAAAGGCGAGAAGAAATCGGAGATGGATCGAGCACCGGTGACCACAGGACCGATGGATATGCCGATTATGCACGACAGCGATCGATACGACTTCGTCAAGGATATTGGGTCGGGTAATTTCGGAGTTGCTCGGCTCATGAGGGATAAAGTCACAAAGGAGCTTGTTGCTGTTAAGTACATCGAGAGAGGAGACAAGGTTTTCTCTTTTTTTTTTTGTATTAAAAATCTCATCTTTATTTTTTGTTCTATTTAGTTCAGTGATCGTTACAGTGTTGCTTTAGCTTCGGCTTTCCAGTTTAAGTGGTTATAGTATTTCGGTTTCATGTTTTACCGCTGATTTTTTGGGTATAAACGATAGATTCGTGCTATTATCGTTTGATGATGATGATGATTATATACTGCTTTTAAGGTTCACTTGTAAATTACAAATCTAAAGAAATGACTTTCCTAATTTTCAACACTTCATTGATGATAGGATTCAGTTTGAAATATAGACGTTGATAGGAGTTTTTGCTGTTGGTATTTAATGCTCTGTTTTTTTTTAAACATTGTGGCTTGAGTTGTAAGTAACTATATGGTGATGGTTCACGAGTTTCAGATTGATGAAAATGTTCAGAGGGAAATCATAAACCACAGATCACTGAGGCATCCTAATATTGTCAGATTCAAAGAGGTAAAAAAGTAAACATCTTTCAGTTGTATCTAAATAAGCGGGTGTGGTTTTAGCTCCTTTTACACACCCGGTACGGTCTCTCTTGTTCTGAGGATAGGTCATTTTGACGCCGACTCATCTGGCTATCATAATGGAATATGCTTCTGGTGGTGAGCTTTATGAGCGGATTTGCAATGCAGGGCGGTTTAGTGAGGATGAGGTTTGCATTTCTATCAAGCTTGATTCTCTAATTTCTGTTTTCTTTAAGGTGCCTCTGTTTTTTTATTTGTTTATTAAAGTCCCTTTTTTTTGGTACTACAGGCTCGATTCTTCTTTCAGCAGCTTATATCTGGAGTCAGCTATTGTCATGCGATGGTATGCAGAGAAAATGTTTATGGAGCTTGAGGACTTTATATAATTGATTTATGTTGCTCTTCAGTGATTTTTTTATTCATGTTTTGGGTTTCTTTATGAAGCAAATTTGCCATCGAGACCTGAAGCTGGAGAATACACTGTTAGACGGAAGTCCTGCGCCTCGTTTGAAGATATGTGACTTTGGATACTCTAAGGTAGTATTTGTTATTATGGCAGAAAAATTGTTGTCTTTCTTCGATTCTCTGTTTAAGGCAATCGTGTGTTCTTTTTTGACAGTCATCTGTTCTTCATTCACAACCAAAGTCAACTGTTGGTACTCCTGCTTACATTGCACCTGAGGTTCTGCTTCGTCAGGAATATGATGGCAAGGTAAGAGCTTTTTTAAAACATAAATTCCTCTGTAATCTGCTTTTTTTCGTTGTCCAATCAATTATCAAGTGTTGCAACACCAGATTGCAGATGTATGGTCGTGTGGTGTAACCTTATACGTCATGTTGGTTGGAGCTTATCCATTCGAAGATCCAGACGAGCCTAGAGACTATCGAAAGACGATTCAGGTAACAACTTAAACATTGTTTCTTTGCTTATTCTCTTTTATTCTCTTCTTTAATTCTCTTCACGATTCTAAAACGCAGAGAATCCTTAGTGTTAAATACGCAATCCCTGAAGACATACGGATTTCACCTGAATGCTGTCATCTGATTTCAAGAATCTTTGTGGCTGATCCTGCGACCGTAAGTCATTTCCCTTTGACTCCTCCTCTAATCTCTTTAACCTATTGACGAAAGTGACACCTTTGTTGTTTGTAACAGAGGATTAGCATTCCAGAGATCAAAACCCACGATTGGTTCTTGAAGAACCTCCCAGCTGATCTAATGGACGAGAGCAACACAGGAAGCCAATTTCAAGAGCCTGAACAACCAATGCAAAGCCTTGACACAATCATGCAGATCATCTCTGAAGCCACAATTCCTGCCGTTCGAAACCGTTGCCTAGACGACTTCATGACGGACAATCTTGATCTCGACGATGACATGGATGATTTTGATTCCGAGTCGGAAATCGACATTGACAGTAGCGGTGAGATAGTTTATGCTCTTTAATATCAAAGCTTTTTTTATGACCCAAGACGTTTTCTCTCATCTGTTTCAAGACCAGTAGAGTCTCTGATCCTCTGGTTTCCTATACCTGCCATTTTTGTATTGGGCTCATTGTCTGTTTGTTTGTTGTTGTTGTTTCTTACATACATATATGCAATGTAAAATATCATATCTATATATATACTTATATATTCCTTCAATGTTACAAACTTGCAAGACCACAAACCCACAAAACAAATTGATCTTATACATATATATGTTCCAATGTTACAAACTTCCAAGACCACAAACACACAAAGCAAACTGAGATTAGAACAGTTGAAGCAAGTTGAGGTTATGTTCTGTTTCCTCGTCTGTGATTGTCAGATTCTTCATTTTTGGTTTGAATCTTTCCCATAAGAACACAGTCCCTTCGTCGCACTTCACCTCCAGATTCTCTAGGTTCTTCACTGAATTTGGCAACTCGCATCGATAACAATCTCTCATCGAAATCTTCTTCAGCATCTGCAATTTTCCAATCTCTAGAGGCAACTTTTTCAATTGAAAGCAACCTGAAACATCTAGAAACCGCAAGTTGCCGAGTCTCTCCATCGTTTCCGGAAGCTCTGTGAGACTATAACAAGAACTCACTCTCAGCATCTCAAGGTTCCTTAAGTTGCCTATAGCTTCTGAGAGTCTACATAGCTTGTTACAATTCGTGACGCTAAGCTTCTTCAACGAAACAACTTGAGAGACCCAATGTGGTAATTCAACAAGATTATAACAATAATCAATTTCGATTTCCTGTAAACTCTGTAGAGTTTGAGAAACATCATCAACTTCAAACTCGTTGAGAACCTCATCGACATGACACAACCATAAAGATAGCTTCTCAAGACTACTGAGCTGAAGTTTTGGAATGTCAAGCAGAGTGATTGAAGCTTTCTCGAATCTGATCCGTCTCAGATTTGGTAATGAGCTGAGACACGACAAATTAGTCAACTTTGTAGGTTCAAGACCGTGATTTATGATCATCACAACTTTCAGTTTCTTCATTGTAGCAATGAAGTTCGGCAATGCATAGTTTGATGAAGAGAGATTCAGAACTAAAGCTTCAACATTTGGACAGTCCATTTCAACCCAACTTGATAAAAACGAATCATCTGCACATTTTTAAAAAAAAAAGAAGAAGAAAGATTTGTCACACAAAGTTATAGAAAGGTTTGTGAAAACAGAGTAAAAGAAACAATTATCTTACCAGTAGAGATAGACAGGAGAGTGGCATTAATAATAAGAGGCTGTTTTAGATTTAAACACCAGTTTGGGAATTTGTTGTCTTGTATATCAAAGTTTAATCTTTTCCTTTCGAGGATCGAAAACGACTCTTCTTCGCATTGACTTATAGCAATTTCTCTGAAGATGCTGTCTTGTTTGACCAAGAACTCATTGAAGAAAATATCTTCATACTCATTTTTCCTGATAATAAAGCAAATATATAACGGATAGTTGAGAACAAAATAATCTCGAAGGATAAATCATTGAAAAATAGGCTGAATCTATTAATAGTAGTCATCTAGAATTTAGGACTTAGTCACCTAAGGTATAGTTTCTCGGGTTTAAGGTTTAGAACTTATAAAAATTATCTGTTAATTACTAGTTTCTTAATTTTGATATAAAGTTTAGACTAGTTTCATAAATCTTCCAATAAACATGCTATATATTAGGTCTTTTTGGGTAATGAATCTAGAGATGAATAGAAAATGAAGTAACATACCCAAGAGGAAGAAGTTTAAGGAGATTGTGGGAGGCAAGATCTTGGAGGTAACTCATGCAGATGATATTTTCTTTACCGTATAATTCAGACCATAAGTCAATTACTGTGGAAGCAATAATCTTCTGGTTTTTAAGAAACGAGCCCATGTCCAAGAAACATTCTCTAAGATTGTGGCTCAAGGCATCGAAGCTTTGGTTCGAATTCATAATGGTGTCAATTAATGGAGAGGAGTTCTATCAATTTAAAGAATATTTGAATGCAAAAAAGACGGCCGACAGCGAGTAAATTTTAGGGAAATTTTCTCTTTTTGAGTTTTGACTGACTTTATTTTCTTAAAACGTGACTCTTGACAAATCTCATTAGATGAATTATGAATACTTCTAACGAAAAAGTCACGACGCCCCCAAATAGAAGTTAAACTAGAAAAGGTAAAATGGTGGCTTGACAAATACGCAAAAGCCAGTCAAAGAAATTAGATCTCAAAACATAGACAATGGTGGGATCTTGAAGCCAAGACGGACTCTCCTAAATGTGTTGAAGCTATGCATTGTAGGTCTCTTGTGACACTGGTTGCTATTTCATTAGCCACTCGGTTACATTCATTCGGAGCAAAAAAAAGTAATGCATAGTTTTATTAATAAACAAAAGAAGCATACAGCAACATGTACAAGAACAAGACACACACTCTAAGAGAAGCTATAAGGATGTTCTCTTTCACTTAAAAGTGCATCTGAAGCAAGTTCAGGTTGTGCTCTGTTTCCTCCACAACAACACTCAAATTTTTCATTTTTGGCTTCAACCTTACCCACAAGAATCCAGCTTCTTCATCGCATATCACCTTTAGATCCTCTAGTTTCTTCACTGAACCCGGTAACTCGCATTTGGAACACTTCGTCATCGAGATCTTCTTCAGCTTCTGCAGCTTCCCAATCTCTAGAGGTAACTTTCTCAATCCTAAGCAGTTATAAATATCAAGAAACCGCAAGTTGCTGAGTCTCTCAGTCGTTTCAGGCAGCTCCGAGAGACTGATACAAGAACACAACCTCAACACTTCCAACTTACTCAAGTTGCCTGTAGCATCTGGAAGTATAGAGAGCTTATTACAGTTTGTGATGCTAAGTGTCTTCAACGAAAGAGCTTCAGATATCCAGTAAGGTAACTCAACGAGATCATAGCAATAGTCTAGATCAATCTCTTGTAAGCTCGATAGAGATTTAGAGACATCTATCTCTTTTGTGTCGGAGGCAAGCTTACCGAAACTACACATGACCAAAGATAGCTTGTTGAGACTGCCGAGTTGCAAATGGAGGAGAATGTCCAGCCAAGTGATTGAAACTTTCTCGAATCTGATCCGTTTCAGGCTTGGTAACGAGCTGAGACACGACAAGTTGGTCAATTTTGCAGGACCATGACCGTGATTTATGATTATCAAAACCTTCAGTTTCTTCATTGTAGCAATGAAGTCTGGTAGTGCATAATCTGATGAAGAGAGATTAAGAACTAGAGCCTCAACATTGGGGCAATCCAATCCCATTTCCACCCATTTCGATGTGAATGAAACATCTGTAACCAAAAAAGAAAGACCAAAGGAAAGTCATATTACTAGAAATAGAGTGGATATAATCTCTATGTTCAGTTTTGTTTGGAAAGAAATACCTGTAGAGATAGACAAGAAGCGGACATTGATAGGCTCCCTTAAATTCAAACACCAGTCAGGAAAGCTATCTCCTTGTATCTCCAAATTTAGTCTTTTGCTTTCCAATTTTTCCTTTAACTTCTCCTTGGAGCTTAAATGGATAGCAAGCTCCCTGAGGAGATCATGTTGAGTGACTAATAGCTCATTGTAGAATCCGTCTTCGTGCTCATTTCTCCTGTGAAAGTAAATAAAACAAGTTCGTTCATCATACGGTAGGTGGCAAGAAGATAGCAAAGACACAATGTTGGCACATAAACAACATACCCGAGCGGAATAAGTTTAAGCAGATTCTGGGAAGCAAGGTCATTAAGGTATTTCATGTACACGTTACCAGTACTGCTACCTTTACCGTATAGTTCCAACCATATGTCAATGATCACCGAAGCACGAATCTTTTGGTCTTCAAGAAATGAGCCCATGTCCAAGAAACACTCTTTAAGATGGGGTTGCAGGGCACTGAAGCTAGGCTCCAGACAGTCTAGCACAGTAGGATGAGGATTATCAAGAATTGTTCTCCCCTGAGACCAGCTTTCCACCTGGCCTTTCCATGCATATAATGGTTGTTCTTTGAGTGAAACGCCGACTACTTCGATTACGATTGGGTATCCATTGCAACGTTTCAATATCTGCAGTCCCTCACCATTCGAAAAATTACAAGAAAAAACCCATTTGTTTCTTTTCATAGAGATGATGAAAGTAATAATAATAATACCTTTTGGAAAAGCTCTTCATACTCATGTGGAGATGTGTGATAATTAGGCGGCGAGGACCACTGGACGAGAAGCGACTTAGCATCTTCATACTCCAAAGGCTCCAAATGATAAGTGAAATCAAAACTGGGCAAGTTAAAGCGCGAGGTCACCAAGATCTTACAACCTGGTAATCTAATCTGTTGAAAGTATCTACGAAGCGAGAACTCGGCTCCCTGCCACACATCATCCAACACCAACAATACATCACCGTCTACAATGAGTTCTTTAATCAGGTCTTGCAAGCCAACAGCTGCTTGAGAATCGTTGTCAAATATATGTGGAGCGTAACCGTTGTGCTGGAGTAGATTCTGCACTATGGCCTTAATGTTAGGAGGTCTTGAGACAACATTAAAGAAGATATGCTTGAACTTCCCTGCCAAAGGGAAACTACAGTACATGAGAAACAAACAACAAGTAGACAATTCAAGCAGTGTAGAGATGGAAACTTTGCAAGATTTATTGTAACCTTTGACGTCAGGATCGTGGCAAAGCTGAGTAGCAAGCGTGGTCTTCCCGCACCCGGGAGCAGCAGACACCAGAAGAGTGTTGACGGAATCATTAAGGAGCTCCTTCTTGAGCTTCGTCAATGGCCAATCGAATCCAACAGGAACCTCGTCAAGCTGGAGAACCGAACAAAGATTTCTGAAAACGGGCGCAGGAACATTCATAAGATCGAGCCTCTTGCTAATGGCTTGGATACAATTAGTGATGTCCTCAGGCAGCTTACACGGCTGCACTTGGTTCCTAAGCTGTATAAGCTGTAGTTGAATCTGACAGAACTTGAGAATCTCCTTGTTGATTTTCTCAACTCTTCTTGTATATATAGATTTTGAGATTGCATCCCACCGCTTGACGCCTTTACAATCCGCAACCAATACAAGAGCTTTATCGATCGTAACCCTCAGAGTCTTTAGTGCCTCAGCATCTCCCGACGATTCGATCTGGATGACTATCGGAACCACTTCCTGCATCGCTGATGCGAGCTCCCTAGACAAAGTTTTGAACCCCAACACCTTCTTCGCTTCCTTGATCGCACCATCCAGGAGCTCAGAGGCTAAAGCTCCCACACCAGCACCTATTACCAATACACCCGCCATCCTTGTTTCAGAGAATAAGCTCGGCCAAAGTAAGAGGAAACCCAGAATCTTACAACAGTCACAAGTGGTTCTGAATTTCGCAGTGAGAGAAGCAAGAAGACGAGTCAAAAAGCTTTAGCAGTTTAATCACACCAGCGAACATGTATATGGGCCCGCAAATAAGCATATGACATATATTTTAGAATGTATTTCTTTTTTTCTCGGCCACATCTTTTAGGGTGTTTCTATAATTAAATGTACATGGATTATTTTGGCAATACTCGGAAAATTCTTCAAATTCTTGATATTTTTCTTTCGGAACATTCTCATAGTCATTGAAAGCCCTTTTTATAAATAATAAAAAAAAAAAAACATCCTCATAGTCATATGGACTTGAACATTTGCGCGTTTAAACCGCAAAGATAAACCTGTCCTATGACCATTGTTCAATGGACTTGGACATTCTAATAGCTAAGTCTTTTTCTTGTTTTTTTTTTATATGGCGAGATCCTAGTAAGTTCCAAATATCTATAAGTGTTTTCTCTTGTTATTGGCAATTGTTCAATGGACTTGGACATTTCTTTAAGTGTTTTCTCTTGTTATATGGCGAGATCCAAATATCTCTACGTATTTGATTTTCCATCTAATTCGTTATCAATATGACTTTTTGGCTGTCCTAGTTTTGCTTTTGTCCATGGGCTTCCTCTTCTTACGTAGTATATCTATTTGAATTCTGAATCGTCATCTTTACTATATAATACAATGGCCTACGCTTTCTCATTGGCAAATATGTGTATTTTTGTATAGTGTTATTAATAATAAATACACCATTGTTTCCCACTTTACATTGGATGACATTACAGAATCCATACACACGCTATGAAAATGTTCTTTTCACTCGCAAGTCGCAGCTTAAAACATTTGAAGCAAGTTCAGGTTGTGCTCTGTTTCCTCCTCTTCAACTCTCAAGTTTCTCATTTTTGGCTTCAACCTTTCCCACAAGGGTGCAGTTTCTTCATCGCATTTCACCTCCAGGTTCTCTAGTTTCCTCACTGAATCCGGCAACTCGCATCTCCAACACTTCCTCATGGAGATCTTCTTCAGCTTCTGCAGCTTCCCAATCTCTAGGGGCAACTTTCTCAATCCTAAGCAATGAGAAATATCCAGAAACTTCAAGTTGCTTATTCTCTCTATCGTCTCAGGCAGCTCAGAGAGATTGATACAAGAACTCAGCCTCAACACCTGTAATTTACTCAAGTTGCCTATAGCTTCCGGAAGTGCAGAGAGCTTGTTACAGTTCGTGATGCTAAGAGTCTCCAATGAAACGACCTCGCAGACCCAATACGGTAACTCATCAAGATCGTAGCAATAGTCTATGTCAATCTCCTGTAACCTAGGAAGAGCTTTACAGACGTCTATTTCTTCAATGTCGTAGAAAACCTCACCGAAGCTACACATGAACAAAGACAGCTTTTTGAGACTGACGAGTTGCAATTGGAGGATGTCCAGCAAAGTGACTGAAACTTTCTCCAGTCTGATCCGTTTCAGGTTTGGTAATGAGCTGAGACACGAGAAATTGCTCAATCTTGTTGGATAAAAACCGTGATTTGTGATTGTCAGAACCTTTAGCTTCGTCATTCCAGCGATGAAGCTTGGTAGTGCATATTTTGGTGAAGAGATATTAAGAATTAAAGCCTCAACGTTGGGACAATTCATCTGAACCCAATTCGATGAGAAAGAATCATCTGTAACAGAAAGAAAAAGTAAGCATAGTAGTTAATATGAAAAGTCATATTTCTAGAAACAACAGAGAATTGTAGATGAATTTTCAGAAAAAGAAGGCATTACCTGTGGTGATAGACAAAAGAGAGGCATTAATAGTAGGGTGACTTGGATACAAACACCAGTCTGGAAATTCATCTTCTCTAATCTCCAAATTTAGTCTTTTTCTTTCCAAGTTTTCCTTTAATTCGCTTTGATGGATAGCCAACTCCCTAAGGATATCATGTTGAGTGACTAAGAACTCATTGTAGAAACCCTCTTCGTGCTCATTGCTGCCGGCAAACCAAATAAATCAGTTCCTCTAATAGTAGATGGAAAGAAGGTGCAAAGACACAGCGTTGAAACAGAAACAACATACCCGAGAGGAACAAGTTTAAGCAGATTCTGGGAGGCAAGGTCTTCAAGGTACTTCATGCACAAGCAACTGCTACTTTTACCGTATAGTTCCGCCCATATGTCAATTATTACCGAAGCACGTATCTTTTGGTCCTCAAGAAACGAGCCCATGTCCAAGAAACACTCCTTAAGATTGGGTTCCAGGGCACTGAAGCTAGGCTCCAGACATTCTAGCACAGTAGGATGGGGATTGTCAAGAATTGTTCCCCCTAGGGACCAGCTTTCCACCTGCCCTTTCCATGTATTAAGAGATCGTCCTTTGAGTGAAACGCCGACTACTTCAATTACGATTGGGAATCCATTGCAGCGTTTCAGTATCTGCAATCCCCACCACGTGACATATAAAAAGACATTCAAAGCTTAAAACTTGAAGGTAGAATCAGCAAATCTTTAGTAATCATATTTGTAAGATCACAAATGTATAGGTTCGTAGAGATAAAACTAATACCTTATGGAGAAGATCTTCGTACTCAGCTGGAGAAGCGTTATAAGGTCGAGATGCCCATTGAATGAGAAGGGCTCTGGCGTCTTCCTCTTCCAAAGGTTTCAGATGATAATTGTAACCAAATCCCGGAAAGTCAGACCGAGAAGTCACCAAAATCTTATAATCTGGTATGGTAATTAGAAATTTCTGAAGAAAGGGCTCCGCTCCAAGCCACACATCATCCAACACCAACAATATAGGACCGTCTTGTCTGAGTTTCTCCAGCAGTTTTCTTAAGGCAACGGTTGCTTGAGAATCGTTGTCAAATATTTGTGGAGCGCAACCGTTGTGCTGGAGTAGATTCTGTACTATGACCCTAAAGTTAGGAGCACTTGACACGACATTAAAGAAGATATGCTTGAACTTCTCTGCCAACGGAAACCACAGTACATGAGAAACAAACAACAAGTAGACAATTCAAGCAGTGTAAAGATGGAAACTTTTTGAATATACCTTTGACGTCAGGATCGTGGCAAAGCTGAGTAGCCAGAGTGGTCTTCCCGCACCCGGGAGCAGCAGACACCACAAGATTGACAACGGCGTTGTCGAGGAGTCTCTTCTTTAGCTCCAGCAATGGCCAATCCAATCCAACGAGTAGCTTATCAAGCTTGGGGACCGAACAAAGATCCCTGAAAACGGGCTGCGCAGGAAGAATCAAGCCTTCCATTCTCTTACTTATACCGTCTACCTTCTCCGACAATGTCAAGTCGTTCCTGTACTGAAGAAGCTGTAGATTAATGCTACAGAACTTGAGCAGTTCCTTGTTGATTCCCTCGATTTTCCTGGTGTATTTGGGTTTCTGGTACCACTGGACGCGTGGAAACTTGAGAACCAGTACACGAGCTCTTTCGATCGTATCCCTGAGTTCCTTGAGCTCCCCCGGATCAAGGTCCAGCTTGTTTTGAATCGAATCGATCTGTCTGGCCAAAGGAAGCAAATCATCCATCGTTGATACGAGATCCCTGGACAAGGGTTTGTAGTCTTTGTACTTCTTTGCCTCTGCAATCACAAATTTCAGAGCCTCGGAGACCACAGCTTCCACGACGAAATCGGCCATTTTTCTTTCTTCTTTCTACTTCTTCCCTTGACAAATTTAACGAAATAGAGAAATCTCAGACTCAAAAACAAATGTAAAAACCCTCAGATTTTGTCTGTACTAGACTCGCTGAACAAGTAAAGATGGTAGAGCAGGAAGCCGAAATCGAAAAGCTTTAGCTTAATTGCAAGGCAATCCCTTTCGTCGTTGACTTACGTCCATCGGAAAATTACACGTTCCTGCTTCTCACTTGCCGCGCAATTACCTGGAAAGTGGAAACTGCGTTTGCGACTTTCTTCTTCGTTATTCGTGTATCCCACACGCGCGGCACGTGGTTCGGTAGCCGGAGCGTGTTTTGTTCTTTTTGCGCGCGTGCGAACGTATGCCTTTCTTAATTTTAGGCCACCATTTAAAGCGGCCCACTCAAATAAGCTTTATATTTCTACGGGCCCATAGAACAAAAATGCGTACATACAGATACAGTAATTTGAAATCACTGGCTCGTCACATGATTTCAGAGCAGTCGAAATAAGAAAAGAGACGATGCATGTGACTGTCCATTATTGTGAGAGCTTCCACATGTTCGACTAGGGGTCAGCCTCAGCCCATGTTGACTCTTGTATGTCAAGTGTCACTTGACTAATCTAATTAGTGGATTGAGAGACACGAAGCAGAAAAAAATACCCAAAATTAGTGGTTAATCTATTGTATTTTAAATAAAACAATGATGCTTAATCAACTACTCCCCACATGCTTCTTGTTTTGTCCTGATAATCCTCCCGACACATATCATTATGCTGCTTAATGTATCTATGTACGTATACGATTTCTTTTAATGTCCTCTTCCGTTTCTTATGTATTGGTTGACTCGTTTCTTACTGGGTCAACGATCAAATTTCATAACGTAATATACAGTATAAGTGAACGTAATATTAATTTGAACAGATGGAGTTGCGTTTTGTGTTCCGCATGCATGGAATCCATGGACCTTTGATAGGATCCGTCAAGTTATAATTGGGTACGTACGTAACGTATACATTCTATATTTCCATTGTTATTTTTTAGACAAAATATATAATAGTCGGTCAGTCGACGTCGGTGGACGGTGGACCATATTTTCCCAACCGGGAGTTTTGAAACTTGAAATGTATCCAAAAAATAATAATACAATTTATCTTTAATCAGATTTGCAGTAAATCAGCAAAAGTGGCACAGGTTTCAACTAGACAGATGACCATAATAAATAGAGAGATACTCTTTTGTCATAAGAATAATACAGTATTAGTAATAGTAATAATAGTACTATTTTGTTTCAAAATTCCACATTTTCAAACTCATATTGCAGAAACTAGAAAGTTCGTTTATAATTGGTGCCAAGCAAAAAGAAAAAGCTTCCTTGGCCGTGTCAACACGAAGGAAACTGCAAAAGGCCGACTGTAGTAATCAGCGGCGATAAATTAGGACATAATACTTCTTGTCTTTTACTCATTTTCTTTCGCTTTCCTTTTTCGTTTTCTAATATAGAATTCATTTCATTTACCTTTTTATGGTATCGTTATCGGAATAGTCGAATAATGAAAGCTAAGCTTTGGCTGGAAGCAATAATCATCAAACTAAAACGCGTGAAACCATACAATTCCGTTGTCACCGCATTATCCATTATCCCTTTTTTTCACATTAGCAACTTTACTTTTATTTATTTTTCCTCAATAATTTAAACCAATACAAATAATTCAAATGTAGTGGTTAAATCAAATTTAATGGTGTAAAAAGTTGTTAGTAGTTGATTTATGAAGAGTAGTTGAATATAATTTCTTTTGACCAAACGAAAAATAAAATAAAAGCAATAAAAAAAAACTAGCTCGAGATCTTCATTCTTCACTGTCATTGATTGGAACCACCGTTGTTACTTTTCCTCTCACTTACTTATGTCACCCCTCAACTTTCGCTATCTAATTGCATTTTTATTTATAACAAGAGTTTTGAGCTGTCTTCAGTCTCTTGTCTGTATCACTATTCTTTTAGGGAAGCCCTGAAAATGGCGTCAAGAACATCAATATCTCTGCTTCATCTTCTTCTTCTTGGAGCTTTGGCTCTGTTGAGCAGTTTGGTGATAGTGAAAGGAGAAAGCCCTTACAAGTTCTACACTTGGACTGTGACTTATGGCATTATCTCTCCTCTTGGTGTTCCTCAACAGGTACAAAGTACACAACAACAGTTTCTACTTATGGACTGTTTCAGATCCATTTTTTTTGTTTGATGGTCAGAACTTTTTTAACTCTTTATCGATGCTTTTGTTTGTTTGTTTGTTCAGGTTATTCTGATCAATGGTCAGTTTCCTGGTCCAAAGCTTGATGTTGTGACTAATGACAACATCATCCTCAACCTCATCAACAAACTTGACCAACCTTTCCTCTTGACCTGGTAATTTTATATAATCTGATTCCTAAATCCCAAAGATCTAAACTTTTCCATTTTCACATGCTTCTCAAATATTAAATCCTCTGTTTTGATCACTACTTGACTTAAAAAAAGTGAAGACATTTGGGGGTTAAGGTTTAAGATCGAAAAGCTGCAAACTTTATTGATCAATCTTAAAGTTTAGGCTAATTGGGTCATACTCGCGAAATGGGTATTTGATATTGTGGTTCAGGAATGGAATCAAGCAGAGGAAGAACTCATGGCAAGATGGTGTATTGGGAACAAACTGTCCAATCCAACCAAACTCAAACTTCACTTACAAGTTCCAAACCAAAGATCAGATCGGAACTTACAACTACTTTCCTTCCACCGCGTTTCACAAAGCCGCCGGTGGATTCGGAGCCATCAATGTCTACGCAAGACCTGGAATCCCGATACCTTACCCTCTCCCCGTTGCAGATTTCACTTTACTCATTGGTGATTGGTTTAAAACCAACCACAAAACGCTTCAGCAGCGTCTGGATTCCGGTGGGACTCTTCCGTTTCCCGACGGACTTCTTATTAATGGACAAACCCAAACAACAATTACAGGCGACCAAGGTGAGTGACCGATCTCTGGTGTTTTACACAAGAAATGTTTCTTTGAGTGAACTTCACTCTGGTTTTTTGACCTTTTTGTCTCTGTAATGTTTTTATAATGTTTCAGGGAAGAGTTACATGTTGAGAATCTCCAATGTTGGGTTAGCGAGCTCTTTCAATTTCAGAATCCAAGGACACACAATGAGAGTAGTTGAAGTTGAAGGCTCTCACGTCATTCAAAATGATTACGAGTCTCTTGATGTTCATGTTGGGCAGTCTTTATCACTTCTCGTGACCTTAAACCAGACTGCTAAAGATTACTACTTCGTTGCAAGCTCCCGGTTCCTAAAATCCAAGCTCTCTGTTACGGGTCTGTTGCGTTATTCCAACTCCCGCGTCCCAGCTTCTGGTGCTCTTCCCGCTCCTCCCCCTGGAGAGTTGGTTTGGTCCATGAGACAAGCCAGAACATTCAAGTAAGAAAGAACAATTATCGTATAAAGCAACATATTGAAACGGTTGATGCATACACAAAGTAGATGATCATCAATGGTGTTTTCTTCTTTTGGATTTTTTCAGGTGGAACTTAACAGCAAATGCAGCTAGACCAAACCCTCAAGGATCATTCCACTACGGGAAAATCAACACGACCAGGTCGTTCGTTTTCTCAAATTCAGCACCTTTGATCAACGGGAAGCAACGGTATGCAGTAAACGGCGTCTCGTATGTGAACTCAGAGACGCCTCTCAAGCTCGCTGACCACTTCGGCATCGGCGGAGTTTTCAGCACGAATGCCATTCAGAGCGCCCCATCTAGCTCTCCCGCAACTGTTGCAACATCCGTTGTTCAGACCTCTCTCCATGATTTCCTCGAAATCGTGTTTCAAAACAGTGAGGAGTCAATGCAGTCTTGGCATCTTGACGGTTATGACTTCTGGGTGGTTGGGTGAGTCTTTTTAGCGCCGCTCTTATGCTTTTTTTTTATTTTTGTCAACTCTGCTGAAGTCAGATTGTTGATAACCGTTTCTTTGTTACGAGTCTATAGATTTGGCTCTGGACAATGGACACCCGCAAAAAGACCACTTTACAATCTTGCTGATGCTCTTACCAGACACACGACTCAGGTAAAAATCCATCGGTCAGAAACTTTTGAGTGTGTTTCTTGTTGTGTTCTTGATGTGTTTGTTGGGCTTTAAAATGCACAGGTGTACCCGAACTCGTGGACAGCAATATTGGTGTCGTTGGACAATCAAGGGATGTGGAATATGAGATCGGCGATATGGGAAAGACAATATTCGGGGCAGCAGTTTTATCTAAAAGTATGGAATCCAGAGCAGAGCCTTGCGAATGAATACAATCCTCCTGATAATCTTCTTCTATGTGGCAAAGCTATCGGAAGACACCTTTAGAGAGTTCCTCTGTTCTTTATTTGTTTGAGGTTTTGGGGGTTTCTTCTTTATGGTCATGAGAGTATGGCTGTTACATTTGAGGAGAGAAAAGTTTACGTCTTTGGTAGCCTACATAAGCTTTTGCAGAGGTTTAAAATAATCTTTTGTACAATTCTATTCAAGTTGTTCTTTCTAAATCAAAATATCTTTATTTCTATAATCGCAAAGGTTATTCTACATAATTTGTGTGTGTGTTGCATTGCAAAGGAGTTTGAAATAAGCAATCCAAATTTCCAACGAGGTCATTCGCAAAAATATTATTTATTGTTCCGTTGATAGATCATAAGCCGCCTAAGAGAAAATACCCAAAATACGGAGCTCTGAAAGTTGACTACTCCAGTTTCTTCCAAGTTTCTAGGATCATAATTTTTGGGCGTGTGTGTGTGTTGCGTTGCAAAGATATGCGGCATATGCCTATCGTTTTATGAAGTCAAAAGCAAACAGCCATCTTGGTTCACCAATAACATTGAACGGATGTACTGGGAACAATGGCACATCAATCTGAATGTGCTTCTTCAGCCCACTAAAGCCCCTATCGGAAAGTCCCACCACTCTAAACTGGTTATGGATCCTGTCATCTTATGTTCTTTATCAAATTGTAAGAAGTTTAAGAGAGCTCTCCACCTACCGAAAATCAGAAAAAAAACCTTTTTTGCAATCCCTTCTTTAACCTCTCACCTCTTTCTCAGCTATTCTCAGGCTATAACCTCACTTTGCAATCCTTTCTTTAACCTCTCTCTCAGCTATTCCTGAATCAGGCCGTAACCTCACCTTGCAATTCCTTCTTTAACCTCTCTCTCAGCTGGCACAGCTCCGATGCTTTCATCATAAAATTTCCCTTCGCTTTATCCAGCACATGCTTCAAGCCTGGTACCCAATTTCTAAAGGTGGAGTAAGTATTGTATGAGAGATCAATCACAATCATCACACTTTTGAAAAATTTAATGTGAGAAAACAAAACTTAACTACAAATCAAGAAAAGCAATAATTACAAATCGAAAAGCAATAATTACAAACTGTAGACAGATGGATAGATAGACACCAAAAACTTGTCACGAGTGTACCGTTCTATATCACGCTCTTCATAGTCACCCCATCTGAACTGTATATCAATAAAGAATTTGGTATTGTGGTGATCATCTAAGTAAAACTCGATGTCACGATCACCAGAGGTGTGTCTTGGTACAATATGTCATATTTACAATAGTCGTAAGCTATGTTATATGCTTATAAATATATTGTAAACATGATATATGTTACAAAAAATTTTGACCAAGCAATGCACATCATATGAGGAATGTATTTTCTTCTTTTTAAACCTTATAATTTGCTTGTTAGATGTGAATCAACAGCATACCAATATACCAAACTAGATATTATAGAGAGATAAATACATAAACATGATAAAGTTTGTGTAATCTTCTCATTGCAATTGAATATTTATTTAATATTTGTCATGAGATACGTGATTATGTAACATTGACAGTCCACTCGACGTGGTTATTGTATGCTGGGAGATCCATTGCGTTGAAGATCATGTGCTTAAGTATATTATCAACACATCCAAGACCTTGGATGACATCATTTTCATACTTTTTAAAGTTCCACAGCATACCAATGTACCATCATGTCTCTGGTGCATCTACGAGGAAGAATCTTCTTCCAGGATTTGATTTCAATCAATGTTTTTTTCTTAGGGAAAAGGAAAATTACAGTCTCTAGCATTTTGCACAATTCTATTCAACTTGTTTTTACTAATCCAAATATGTTGGTCTTTCTATTATCGGAGAGCTTATTCTACTGTAAGTAGCTTCTGATAGTTGTTAACATTTCCAAATCATATTGTGCTCTTTATTTCGGATTTGACCATTTTCATCCTTATAGATATGTTACGATTATGATACAACAACATAAAGATATTAACATTTAAAAATTGTTTTCCAATGAGGTTGGGTTATCCGCAAAAATGTTGTTTTTTGTGAGATAGATCATGGGCCTAATAAAGCCCAACACGAGAGAGTAACCAAAATAGTAACACAGAGCTTCGAAAGTCGACAACTCCGCCGGTTTTGCCTAAAATCAAACGGCGAGAAGCAAAAAGATTGCAGTTTCTTCCAAGTTTCCACGATCATAAATCTAGGCAAAATCGCTGCTTCTTCTCGAAGAATCGGAATCTCCCCTAGTCGAATTTTTCCGTCGGCGAAGATGAATTGCGAAGTTTGTCAGCTGAAGGAACTGGTAAAATCTCGTCTTCTTCTCTGCTAGATCAGTCCATTTTTTAGTCATCGAGTCGTGTTTCTATTTCGGATCTGCTCAGTATTGAATCGGTGTTTGGTACTTTGAAATTTGTTCGCAGGAAGTGGAATCCTTCGAGATACGCGAGGTTCTACGCTGTAAGTTTCTGATAGTTACAGGCTTTTTGTGTGTTGGGTATAAAAAGTAGATTTGATTCATGTGCTTACGGAATCAAAACGTCGGATCATACTGATGAAATTGTGTTTCAGCTTTTGGTTTTTTGAGATTCGGATCCCAGATTAGGTCTTTCTCAGGCTTAGAGTTGTACACATTGTTTGTCTGATATGACCGTCGACTTGTCTTTGTCAAATCGATGGTTTCATTCAATGTTCATCTTCCCGTAACTCTGATTGACAAGGATCAGTTTTGATGCAGGCATTCTACATACTATTGTCTTTCATCGAGCACTTGGTCTTATCCGCCCTAAAGACATTGATTTGGAGCTTTTTGAGATCACATACGTAAGATTGATTCTCTTTCTCTTATTTGGTTTTGTTAGGCTACAGAAGAGCGAGAGAGGTTGCGAGTTTATTAGCTTATGTTATGTTTCAGATTTCTTTTGAGATTGGTGGCTTTAGATGGTGAGTATGCTTTGATTTTGATCTTCTTTGGTTTTTTATTCTCCCCCTGTGTAACAGGTGCAATGTGGTGAAATAGAAGTGGAAAAGAAAATTGATGAGAAGATTGAGCAATTCATAAGCTGGATTGAGAAACACCCGAACAAGAAAAGTCAGGTATATTCAGGTTGCAGATATTCAATTTCCATTTCATCGACTGTGTATCCATAGACTTACTTTGCTCAAACAAGGATTGAAATATTGTTGCAGCACATAGGGTAGTGTAGCTTGTTCTTTATGTGTGTTTGTGTAATCTTTTTTCATTGTCTCCATCCTTTAATGATCCGTTTTTGTGTGTGTGTGTGTGTGTTGCGTTGCAAAGATATGTCTGTCGTTTTATGAAGTCAAAAGCAAACAGCCATCTTGGTTCACTAATAAAATCGAACGGATGTACTGGGAACAATGGTACATCAATCTGAATGTGCTTCTTCAGCCCACTAAAGCCCCTATCGGAAAGTCCCACCACTCTAAACTGGTTATGGACCCTGGAGGTAGTAACATTGATGATCGCTTTCCTCTTTTATTCTCCAAAAAATTACAATCGTATTTTCCTTACATGAGTGGGAAGTGATGGTCGTGTTGACTGTAGAGGCGTCTGAGGAAAGAAGTTCTCGTAGGACACTGCTTGAGCAATCCCTTCAAGAAGTCTTATTCCAAATCATAAAATTCGTGAATGAGAAAAAGGATCACGTTCCTCCCATTAACGATGGTGTAATCTACTGCCCTTTTGAGATCACTATCCCAAGGTACATCAGTCTTTATGTTATTCACATAGCAAACTGTTTTATATGGATCTTACTTGCAGACCATGTTGGAATGAAGCGTTAATACTATATTTAGGTGCAGTGATCTCCGAAAATTTCTGTTGTCAAAAAGTGTTGAATTGAGTTAAATTTGTTTCAGCTCATCGGACTCGGCCTTTGGGATGGATATGATCAAGAGGATGCTACACAGTGGCCACCCATCGATGCTCAGTTGATTCACATTATCCCACTCAACTTTGGTACATACACTTGGTGCAGCCTAACTCCAATCTACACTTTCCTACTTGCATTTCCTTTGTAAATAACACTTTGCCTCTTTCCTTTGATCGTGGTCGTTGAATGATGGATAATGTTTGTCTTTATCTTATCTATGTTACTACGGAATACGGATAGAAGCTGTAAATAAGTGATCCCTTGTTTCCAAGATTTCAAATCTAAGTGACCAGACCATTACAAATCAGAGATCATTCAAAAGTAAAAAGGATTAGAAATCAGAGTTCACCAAGATCGTATTACAGTATCTCTTGTTTGTCTCTGTATACGCAATGTTTTGCGACTCATAAAGCCTTACTACGTTGTTTTCCAAAGTTTGGATTAACATTAGAGAGCCAGAAACAAACAAACCTTTCTCTGATTTGGAGTTTCTTGGAGTTTCGTTCAAAAGAAACCTAACTAAATAACCAGACACACTACTAGCTAGAGAGATCACTAAACTGAAAGCTAAAGAGTGGAAACTTAAAGAGATTGAAACCCTCCGACCGAGGAAGAAGCTGGTATGATCACATAGTCTCACGCTAAGTACTCTCCGGAAACGAACCCGAGTTTGTTCTCTGGGCCTTCGAACTGCCACGTGGCAGGTATTGGAGCCACGTGGCTTGCAGCGGCCGCTGTAGCATCGGTAACGCCAGTTGAAAACGGCCAGACCGTTATCCCTTGCCCAAATCTGACGTCATCAAAATACGACCCTTGACCAAGACCAAGTCCAAATCCGTCTGGCCCATTAAACCCACCACCAGAGCCATGTCTGCTCGCGGCGGCGTTGTAGTTGAGCAAAGAGGCGAAACCGCCGTAGAGCGCAGACGCGCTTCCCTTCGCCGCCGTGTTACCGGCACCGTTGGAGGAGGGAGGGAAAAGAACAGGGGTCGCTTGTAACGGAAAATTCCGGCTTCCGACAGCAGCGGAGGAGCAAGTTCTTGAGCGTTTTGAGCTTTTACGGGAAACGCCTCCGACAGGAATGTCACGGAGAGTACCTCCGTGAGTCCAGTAACGGCGACAAGATTTGCAGAAATGGCGAGGCTGAGAGAAGTTGTAGTTGTTGTAGTAACAGAACTTTGTGTTGGTCGAGTCACAGCGAGGACAAGGAAGCTGCTCTTGCTGATCCGCCGGAATCGCCACCGCTCCGCCGTGAGGAATCTTAGGTAGTCGACGCGATTCGCTGATATCAGAAGGCATGTTGAAGATAGGGGAACGAAAGTAAAAAATGTTTGTAAGCTTAGTGTGTGCGTTAAAGGTTGGAACTTTCTGAGAGCGCGAGGTTCCTTTTATGGAGAAGAGAGATGAGGAAGGAGAAGGGAGTGAAGCTTTTTGACAGAGTGTGTTGGGTTTATTGTGAACATGGAGAGAGAAAGAGATGATCTGTTTCTTTCTCCTTAAGACTTTCTCTCTCTTTAAACTTCATGATACGTAAGGTGGCTCTTCTTTCAAGATTTTCTGTTTTGCAAAACCACATTTCTCTAATCTCTCTGCCACACGTATTCTCATATCTATTAAACAAATTATAATAAGATAATTTTTCTTACCCGCATAAGTGATGATGACTGTAGGAAGAAAAATCAAAAGATAGTTAGCATAAACGCGTTGTGGTAAGTAGTAACTACATGAATCAATTGCTGACTGGAAAAACGATAAAGTTAAAAGAAAATTACGTGTCTATGGCGTGAAATCTGAAGAGAGTAGGCAACAACAGGCAAAAGGTAGGAGGAGACTATTGAGCTTATCAATGTAATGCAGTTCCCAATAATTGAACCCTTGTAGTATTGTTCAAGGGCTTATAGCTAATTTACTTATTTGAGATTATTATTGTGGTACCGTACTTGTGTCATCTTTTCGAAAATGAAAAAAATTAGCATATGGACCTAAAGACATTGATGGCGTGAGTAGATGCGCTTCTCCAATTACTACAGTACCTTAATAGATTACCTGTAGGAGAATCAATGCGTTTAGGACCTCTAAAAATACATTTTGAATTCCGGATCTGATCATAAAATCTCAAATAAATTAGTTTACGTTAATTTAGTACAACGCATTGATTTATTAAACCAACTTGATCTCTTTTTTTTCTTTCTTTTCGGCTTTCATTTATCGTATCATCCGTAGATTCTCTTTTTTTTTTTTGTCTTGTTTAGGGAGGAATCAAAACTAAAAAGGGAAAGAAAATAATAATATGGAGACACAAGAATAAACGTATGAATTCTGACTAAACATGCTCTTGCGGGAACAAGACAAATGGATCTTTAAGGTAAAGAGAGAGAGAATGACAAATGGGCATTTGTCCCAAACGAAAGATGAGGGTCGAATTTGTAAATTCGGGTCTAAAACGGTCAAAAGAGACAGAAGAGATTCGTTTTAATGAAGAGACAGAATCAAGCGAAGCTTGTCGGATAAAGAATGGATATGGAGAGGGAGGAATTAAGAAGCATGCAAATCTTCACACCAAAAGCAAAGAGCATTTTAGAGAGAGAAAGAGACATGTGAGTAAGTGTGTGTGAAGACGTGTCTACTGGTTCAGAGCCGTCCTTTCTCTGTGTACCGACCGGTCTAATCTGGTTAAGCTCTGACACTCTCTCTCTCTCGCTCTGTCTTTATCCCATTCTTTTTGTCATTTTCCTCCCTGAGTCTGAGTCTGAGTCCTCTCTGTTTTCCTTTCAAGTGGGGTTTTCGTCATTTCATTGACAGACCATATGTATAATGGGCCTGGCTTCTTAAGATGTATGCCGCCATTTGCCCCATGGGCCTGAAATATTAGATATGGACTTCTTAACATGTATGCCGCCATTTGCCCCATGGGCCTGACATATTAGATATGGGTTATGATGTGAAATTATTCCACCATTGCTTACGGCCTATCTTTCACAAAATAATTTATTCTTTTTTGGGTTTTTGGTTTTAAATAGTTTTTTATATATATACTTGCATGTGATTATATATCCAATTATAAAAAACTATTTAAAATCATATATCTATGAAAAGCTATTCTGTAGGAAAATATGACAAAATAGGTTGAATCGAAACCATGAATCTTCATAAAATATATATTCAAATTAGCTAGCGTGTAATGCGAAGACGTAATCCTCAAGTTTAGTTAAGTCTTACTAGAGGCAGCATGACCTAATAGGCTAATACGTGTATAGCCGGATTTGGTAATGGCCCATCCATTAGTTACTTACACAACTTACAAGAAAAAAAGGACGCATTGTTGGGCTAATCGTCCTCTCTGTAACTCTCTCTTTTTGCTATTTAATCTCTGAGTCTTATATTTTACATCTGTTACAACCTTATGCCTTTATAATATATCAATAGGTGCGATGTAATTGTATTAAAATGATATGCAATCTGACATGACAGTGTAAAGAAAACATGCAATAATAGTACTTTATTATAAGGGCCTAAATGTAAGGCTTTTTATGTTGTGTTTGTGCATGTTTCACCAAACATCCCATTATGAAAGATATTCAAAGCTGAATATAACTTTACTGATGCATGGTCATATAACCATGATCTGTGTCCCATTTCGAAAGTGCAAACTTGGTCATCATCATAACAGTAAAAGGTGCCAAATAGGAAATTAAAGACCAACATAAATAAATGTGATACAATAATTATAAGTAAAAAAAAAGAGAGACAATGATTACAAAAAGTAGATTAACAAAATAAATAATTTATACAACCTCTTTGGTTCTATTATGAGATTTCAAAGGTATTGGATCATGTATACATAAGATTTGATGGGGACCAAGAACTACCGATGAAGTCCAGATGGAAATAGCATCTCCAAATATCTTTGCCTTCTTGTAAACGAATTGTGATGAAGCTCATAATATATTTTCGGAACGAAAGATTTTCAAAAATCGTAAGCTGTTGAGTATATACATCAAGTGGGGAAATTATATATAGTTTTTTTTTATTTTTTATATATATTTGATCAAGTGGGGAAATTAGATACTAGATAGTGTAACAACAAGCCTGAAAACTGAACCAGAGCAATTACTAAACCGAATACCATGCTGCAGATACAAACCAACTAAACCGATTACGAATCGAGCTCCATACTCTTTAAACGGCTCTTTCATGATTATTGACTAAGAGATATGATTAAAAACGCTAACACTACAATATTAAATGGGCCAAAAGTTTTCACTTCTCTAATCATGAAATTGGGTGCGACGTGCGTCTCCACTTACGGTCGGAGAATTGAACGTTACATTCCCCATCTGTATGTTTTTGTTGGTGTCTCGCTGATTCTTACACAGCCAAAAAGAATGCTTCTTGTTTAAATAATTAATTAGAAAATCATATAAGAAAAATAATTAGTAAAACAATATGAAACCGATCGACTTTTGTTATTGGGACGTCGAGAATTTGGTGCCCATGAAAAAGTCGCTTTTGGAAAAAGTTTGAGTAGTCAAAATAAAATGATTTGAGCAGGGGTGAATTTGTATAGTTGACTAATCATTGCATAAGTAAGCATTTTGGATTTGATACCATTACATTTGAATGCTCCTCTACCCATTTGAATGCTCCTCTACCCATTTGACAAAACTCCTCCCATGTGTGACAATTGGGATTGATTCACATCTAACAAGCAAATTTAGTAGGAGAGTATATTTTAATAACGTAAAAAAAACAAAAGTACTGAATTTACAGTCGCATGACTATTTTTAACTCTCTTTTCTTGTGTGGATCCACATGTTACAGTTAGGGATATTAAATTACTCTATCCTTGAGCCCCCACATCACCTACTTAAAATTTAATATATAGTATATATATTTTTGTAATAATTACATCTGTTTATTAAAAAACATATTTTTGTTCACTTTTATGAGCTAATGTACTGTTATAACTACAACCAATAAATGCGTGGGTTGGATCATAAATTAGGATATTTATTATTTACTTGTTCGAAACCGTTGCAGACAGATATAGAACAAGATTGGTGAGGTAGACAAATTACGTAAAATCGAGTTCTTTCAGAAAAAAATACCAAAAGAAAAATCCAGGAAATAATATCTCAATGGCTCATTTGTCAACAACAAACAGATAAGTTAAACTGGAGAATATATATTTCCATAAATTAATATTGGTAACGTTTGTCACCAAATAATTGTCAAACGATTTTGAAATTTATGTGTGTTGAGGTGTAAAAAAGAGATTTAAAGAGACTTAACGTCATAAATTAAAAGAAAAGGAAAAGTGAGCTCTTTGGTTAGTTGTATAGTGAGAAGAGCCAGCTATTTAAGTCTCTTTGGCTAAACAAAAATAAAATTGAGAGCTTCAAAACAATGGAGAAAAAAACAGTAAAGAAAAAGAGAAAAGGAGGAAGCTTTCATGGGTCCCAGAATAACCAATCACCAAAGATATCAAAATCGAATTATAAATTCAAAAAACCATAATATGCTGCGTGGATTGATTGATTAAAATAATAGGAAAAAAAATAATATTTGGAATTGGAACAGCAAGTAACAGCAAAGAGATTAGGCATTTGATTGATATAAAAAAGTCAAATGGCAATTTTAGTCACTATTTTCGTTTGAAAGGAAGATTATTACGAGAGACAAGAGAGATTAATACAAACGGACGCCCTGTATTGTTGGTTTCAATGGTTATACTTTGATGTGAAAGGAGTTATCTTTTTCTCGAAGTGAAGTGAGACGAAGAACAGGAAGCTTCTTCTTTGTGTTTCAGAAGCTAAACACACAGTTTTTCTTTTGAGATTTTATTTTCTTTCTCCATTAGGAGTTCTGTTTATGGATCTGTTCTTCTGGTTTTTGGGATTTGCGTCTCTTCTATTTTGACTCTTTCTCGTTTTCTCTGTTCAAGATGGGACAAAGGTTTTGACTTTTTGATCTCTCCTATCGAATTCTGGTTTTTTTTTTCTTTTCTTGTTCAAGTTTGATCTTTTTTTAACCTGATCTGGGATTTTTTTATTTCCTTTATATTTTCTCATCCTCTCATTTCGGGTTTGATATCGACGAGGCCACTTCAGTGGTGATTTTGACTTCTCGGGTTCTGTTTCTGATAATCCGAGGTTTCTAAATTAGGGACCTTTCTTTCTCCATTTGCTTACTGAATCGAATTTCCCCTATCTAATTAGGGTTCCTTTGGTAACAATTTAGGGATTTGATGCATATCTCACTTTGGAAGCCAATTTATCACTGTGCTGCTGCTCTAGTACTGGACAAGAAGAGCAGCAGCAGCAGCAGGAATCGAGATGTTTCCGAGTCGACAAAAGCCATGACTCAGCGGAAACTCCATGAATCAAAGCTCAGAGAAGCCCTCGAGGAAGCATCCGAGGATGGGTTACTCGTCAAATCTCAAGACATGGAAGAAGAAGACGAGGCTCAAGATCAAAGCCTTGGACGGTCAAGATCACTCGCTAGACTCAATGCTCAACGCGAGTTCTTGCGTGCTACTTCCATCGCAGCTCAGAAAGCGTTTGAGTCGGAAGAAGCTTTGCCTGAGCTCGAAGAAGCCCTAAACACGTTTCTCACTATGTACCCAAAGTATCAATCTTCGGAGAAAGTCGATCAGTTGAGAAACGACGAGTATTTCCACTTATCATTACCAAAGGTATGTCTTGACTATTGCGGATTTGGGTTGTTCTCGTATCTTCAGACAGTTCATTACTGGGACACTTGCACCTTTAGTTTGTCGGAGATTAGTGCGAACCTAAGCAACCACGCTCTATACGGTGGTGCTGAGAAAGGATCCATTGAACATGATATCAAGATTAGGATCATGGATTACTTGAACATCCCTGAGAACGAGTATGGTCTTGTGTTCACTGTTAGTAGAGGCTCTGCTTTCAAGTTGCTTGCAGAGTCTTATCCATTCCACACGAACAAGAAGCTCCTGACTATGTTCGATCACGAGAGCCAGTCTGTTAGCTGGATGGGTCAGTGCGCGAAGGAGAAAGGCGCAAAGGTTGGCAGCGCTTGGTTCAAGTGGCCTACGCTTAGGCTATGCTCGATGGATCTTAAGAAGGAGATTCTGAGTAAGAAGAAGAGGAAGAAGGATTCGGCGACTGGTTTGTTTGTGTTTCCGGTCCAGTCGAGGGTCACGGGGTCTAAGTATTCTTACCAGTGGATGGCGTTGGCTCAGCAAAACAACTGGCATGTCTTGCTTGATGCCGGTGCGTTGGGTCCTAAAGACATGGACTCGCTCGGCTTGTCTTTGTTCCGTCCCGATTTCATCATCACTTCGTTTTATCGTGTGTTTGGGTATGATCCAACTGGGTTTGGTTGTCTGTTGATTAAGAAATCTGTGATTAGCTGCTTGCAGAGTCAATCCGGGAAAACGAGTTCAGGCATTGTGAAGATAACACCTGAGTATCCTCTGTATCTAAGCGACTCCATGGATGGCCTGGAAGGGTTGACCGGGATTGAAGATAATGACATCGCCATCAACGGAGATAATAAAGCCTTGGGAACTCAGTTACCCGCGTTTTCTGGTGCTTATACTTCTGCTCAAGTGCAGGATGTCTTTGAGACAGATATGGATCATGAGATTGGCTCAGATAAAGATGGAACAAGCACTGTGTTTGAGGAGGCTGAGAGTATCTCAGTGGGTGAATTGATAAAGAGTCCGGTTTTCAGCGAAGATGAGTCGTCGGATAGCTCGCTCTGGATCGAGTTGGGTCAGAGTCCTGCCGATTCTGATAACGCAGGTCATCTGAACAAACAAAAGAGCCCCTTACTGGTTCCACAGAACAACAAACGAAGGATCTCGCCTAAACCAGCTTCGAAGGCTAGTAATGGTAGTAACGGTGGGAGCCATGTTCTCTCGTTTGATGCTGCTGTTTTGTCAGTATCACATGAAGTGGGTGAAGTAGTCTCTGATGAAGAAAAACCTGTAACGTATCAGATAGACACAAGAAGCCGGTTGCGAGTTAATGAGATCGAAGAAGAAGAAGATGGAAGGAGCACTAAGCTAATCTCCGAAGCAAATGGAAATGGTTCAACCTCCGGAATCAAAGAGAGTGCGATAAGAAGAGAGACCGAAGGCGAATTCAGGCTATTAGGAAGAAGGGAGAAGAGTCAGTACAATGGTGGAAGACTTCTTGTTAATGAAGATGAACATCCCAGTAAACGAAGAGTGTCCTTCAGATCGGTAGATCATGGAGAAGCATCTGTGATCAGCCTTGAGGATGAAGAAGAAGATGAAGAAGATGGAAGCAATGGAGGAGAATGGGATGATGAGCAGAGAGAACCAGAGATTGTTTGCCGCCACATTGATCATGTAAACATGTTAGGCCTCAACAAAACCACCTCGAGACTCCGCTACCTCATTAACTGGCTTGTGACTTCTCTGCTCCAACTAAGGCTGCCTAGAGCAGATCCAGGTGGAGAGCACAAGAATCTTGTTCAGATTTACGGTCCAAAGATCAAATACGAACGCGGATCATCCGTGGCATTCAATGTTCGGGATTTGAAGAGTGGAATGGTGCATCCTGAGATAGTGCAGAAGCTAGCTGAAAGAGAAGGGATATCTCTAGGCATTGGTTACCTCAGTCACATAAAGATCGTCGATAGTCGAAGCGAAGAGTCAAGTTCTTGGAAACCGGTGGATCGAGATGGAAGAAACAACGGGTTCGTAAGAGTTGAAGTAGTCACAGCTTCTCTTGGGTTCTTGACAAACTTTGAAGATGTTTACAGATTATGGAATTTCGCGGCCAAGTTCTTGAGCCCTGGTTTTGCTAAACAGGGGACACTCCCAACAGTTATTGAAGAGGATGATTCTTCAGAAACTTAAAAAGACATGAGCACATTTTTTTTTTTCCTACACTTCCTTTGCTTGTACTTATTTGTTTTTATCTGAGAACACATTCTCATGTATGATTCTTGGAAATTATGTGAACAGAGACGATCTCAGACAAGTTTGCAGCTGTCTGCATATTGTAACTGTTCATTTCTTTTCTGTCTTTGTATCACACAATTCATTGATTCATACTAAAATTTTAGAACCAGAAAGATCATATCTATAGCTACTCTCTGCCATTGATGGTTTGTTTTCAAGATTCCATCATCTTTATGAGAAATGCGATCTCTAACGCAGATTCCTTAGTCTGCAAGAACCGGTTTTCTTCGACAATATCAGTCGTCAAGTTGAGTAAGACTGGGCGTTCTGGGTCATTGAATGTGTTGTCACGAACTCTTGCAACCCATTTCGCAGCTTCCCATACACCAAATCTGACAATGCGTGAGAAGAGATATCAAACATCCATAAGAGAGGCAAACAGCGTAGAAATCATCTAAGACCATGAGAAGATTGGATGCTTACCGAGTATTGAACGAGGAAGTAACTAAAACTGCTGGATAAAGAACATCTTTAGGAATGTTGTCATAAGGTGAATATTCACGTATCGCATGAAAATCATCGATATCTCCTGGATATCCAAACTCTTCGTAATCCGCCGCCGTTAAGGGTAGTATTGGATGTATTAGAGTATGAGTTGGATCAAGAAAAGGCACCTGAAAGAAAAACAAATCAAAGCGTTGATGGTTTTTAAGGTTTCATTATCAATAGCTGCCTTAACATTTTCAAGATGAACAGTTTGCTGATTTACCTTTAGAACCGCAGCTTTGAAGAGATGAGGAGAATGATTGATGGCTGAAGCAACGACAAGTCCTCCCGCACTGTATCCCCAACCGGCAATCTTGTTTTCTTGAACGATTTTGTTCTCAACAAGGAACTTGGCACAGTGAATGTAATCTTTGATGGAGTTAAGTTTCTTTGACCCTCGTCCTTCTTGATGCCACTTCTTTCCTTTCCCTCCGCCACCTCTGAAAACAAACCCGAGAAGTCAAAACTATAGATTACATATCTACACATCAAACTCATAGGTATTCGAGAGAGAAAGATACTATGAGACTGACCTAACATCTGCATATGCAAGAACCCATCCACGGTCGAGGAGGCTTTTCAGTTCACTACGCCATCTCTTATCGAGCATTTCTCCGTAAGCACCATGGACATGAAGCAGACCAGGTCTTTGGTTCTCCTCTCTCTGAGCTCTCGAGTAAACAACGGTTAACGGAACCATAGCTCCATCATGAGAAGAGACTTGATGGTAATCACACGCATAAAACTCGGTTAAGTCGTTCCACAAGTTGTCGTTATCGGCAGTAGTATCCTCCGTATCAAAACTGACAGTTCTGGTGCCTGAGGGTATATTAGGGCTTTCGGTTGCGTTAGCAGTGCCATATAAAACCCGTGTTCTTTCGTGAAGCATGTTCTGCTGCTGTACGATGTTCCATTTCCCGTTTAATAGAGCATAATCAACCACAGCATCAGGCATCTGCAGACCAAAAATGTTTGAACACAACAACAATTAGGAACTAAAAACTCTAAGAAGCAGAAAACAGCAAGATGAACTGTTCTCCTACCACAAGTGAAGAGATCGTGAACCGCATTGTTGGAGAATTAAAGTCGTAGTTTGTGCCAGGAAATATTTGGGAAACGTGCTTCGGAAGAGGAAGATAACGAGGCTTAATATCTCTCAGATGAACCGGTACCTGTTTACAAAAAAATCACATGGTCACGCGTATTCACAGAGCATCAATCAGTTCGACGAAAGTAACTAAGCGGAGTAATCTATTACCCGCTCTGTCTTGAGAGGTAGATCAACTACACAAATTTTGTAGCTATGCATTTGCTTCACGATGAGGGATACATGTGTTTTGCAGAAATCAACGTCCTCTATGGTCAATTCAGGGTCGTCGATGAAAACTGTCTGCAAATGAAAGATGAATACGTAGAAATAAGATGATAGAGTAATACTAATCAGCAGAAAAAAAAACAGATATTGAATCAGCCGAACCAACCTCCCAGATCCTTGGACTGGAAGAGAAGTGAAGAGGAGATCGAAGAAGATTATGATGGTCGAGTGTTCCACCGTCTTTAGAAGCATCTGTAAATAAATAGAGAAATCCCTGATGATGCTCGATTATGCAGTGTGCTGGAGCATTGTGTTCCCAAACCAATGCCAAACCAGAAAATGGGTCAGCTGCATTTATCAGAAAGACCTAAGACATAGTACTTGTTATGATTACAAGTAGTTCGAGAAGAATAAAAAATCAAGCTTTTAGTTTTAACAGATCGATTTGGAGCTTTCACCTTTGAAAATGTAGAGGAGAATGTATTCACAGTCACAAAGTGGAAATCTTTTGTATGTCTAATGTTAACATGAACATTGCCTTCGAGTTCTTCGTGAAGCAGAACATCTTCATCCGTTGACCCGATCGTGCTACAATATATCCTAATAACAGAGCAGAGGATTATGTACACAAGCAATTTGTATTTGGGCCAGACAACCAAAGATGATCAGACGAAACCTGAATGGCCGTTTTTTCTGATCAGTCACGACATAGAGTAAAGCCTGGCCATTCTTTGCCCATGCTATGTTCGAGACACGATCTGCGTGAGGCTTGCTGCATAAAGCTCCAGAATTCAAGTTTCTCACACACAATCTGAAGAAGTCGTTGTCCTTATCGTACATAGTGTATGCAAGAAATTTATGGTCAGGAGATATCTCCGACATTTCTTCATAAGCATAACCTACAAACCACACACACACACACACTCAAAATGTTGATTCCTTATTGATCCTTACAAGTATGAGAGCCTCTGATTGCTTGTTTACTTACCTCCAAATCTTTCAGCTTCCTGATTGTAGTCAAGCAGCTTCTGCTCAATCCTCTTCCCAGATGTAAAATCAAACCCTGCAGCAGGAGATTTATGAGAAATGAACTCCTCGTGCAAGCTCGCTAGCCTCCTACACAGCACTGGATACTGCTTCCCTTCTTCAACTCGTCTATAATACAACCTGTTTCCACCAATTTCTACCAAAATCAATGTCCAATTGCCACCACGAAAAAAGAGAGGAAATTTCAAAAAAAAAATCCAAGCTTTTCACCACCCTTTGATCTCAAGGCTCCTGAATCCTATTGAATTCGAAGGATGAAGAAGAAAGTCTGTTAATTTCAATAAACCCACCAAGGTCCCCAGCGAAGAGGAGGCGTAGAGAGCTCAAAAGACAAGCGAGAAGCCATCTCAGACTGAAGCTTGGTCTGAATCCGATCCGTATCGGCCAAGATAGCTTCGGTATACTTCTCTTCTTGCTCCATATAGATATCCATATGCCGCATCGCCACTTTATCTTCAAGCTTAGACATCCAGCTGTAAGGATCCTCCCACGTCGCGTCGTGGAAGGTGAAACTCTGAGGCTTCTTCGGCGGTTTTGGTAAAGTCGGTGGAGGTGGAGGAGGAGGCTGAGACTTCGGAGGCTTGTAACGACGGCATTGTTGCCGGAAACCACAATTATGACGGAAGGTCCTGGAGAGATGGGCCAACATTTCCACCTGGGGTTTACAGGGGTTTTGGCGTCTCAGGGATTACAGTGTATATCATTCAAACCTTCTTACTCACAAAGAGGAAAAGAGTGGAGAGAGTGAAAAGTCTTTAATTTCCTTATCGAAACGGGGATATAGTAATTTAACATATTAAGAGTGGAAATTTGTTAATTTAACTAAAGTATACAAATCAACATCATCGATTGCTCTTGATTAGGTTTGTAAAAGGTGTTAAATTTTATACATCAGAAGTTAAGGGACTGTAAACCTAAATAACAAGAAGTTAGGGAACCGAAAGCAAAACTCGTAATCGTAACTTACAGAAAAGGTATATGATGGATCTTGTCTTTTAATATTTGTCAGACTCAAAAATATCACGTAGATCCTCTCGTCTCGTCTTTTCTTATTATTTCCTCTGTCTGCTTATCAAATTTAGTTTCATCAACAATCTAATCAAAGAAGAGGGAAAGAATGGTTGAAACTGGTGAAAAGGTTTCTTCTCCGCCTTCGAATGTGCGTAAAGACTTGGAATTTTTCAAGGTTTTTCTTCCCGAATTCAGCTCTCACGAACTGGTAATGTTTCTCTGTTTCTTCTCTGAAACTTTGAAGAAAGAAGAATTAATTATTTCTTTTTTTTTAGAAACTTAAATTCAAGATTAACTTGCAGGAGATACCTCCAGCATTCATCGACATCTTGAAGAAGCCATTACCTAATCATCTGTTATTAATCGATGAGATCGGACGGTTGTGGGGTGTGGAGACAAAAGCAGAGGAAAGAGTTCGTCTTGCTGCTGTGTCAAGAGAAACAGTTCGTGTTGTTGTTTTCAAAAGAGGTTGGGAAAAATTCGCAAACGATCAATCTCTTGAATTTGGAGACTTTCTTGTGTTTAGATACGACGGCGATTCGAGATTCTCCGTGACGATCTTCGCTAAAGACGGATGTAAAAAAGATCTCGGCCTCGTCACAACCACGGGTTTACCTAGGGTTTCAGTTGCAAAAGAACCGGTTGTCGCTGATCCGGCGAAGATTTCTACCAAACCGGAACGTCGGCAAGGTTGTTGTGGCGAGAGGGTTAATCAGACTTGGAAACGCGATTCGGTTAAGGAAAAGCCTATCAGAACCGAATCGGAGGATGTTTCAACTATCAAAACCGAACCGGATGATGAATCAACTATCAAAACCGAATCTGAACAGTGGATAAATAGTCGGAGGAAAGTGTACCGGGCTAGAGGTAATTAAATTGATTGGTTCTTTAATACATCTTTTAATACATCTTGGTTCAGTTTGAACATGCGATTTGAATCATATATATTATTGTTCGGTGTTGTGTAGATCCTTGTGGTGTATCATGGTTTACTCACAAGAAACTCAGAGGATTTGAAGAATCGGTTATTAAACCGAAGAATCCGCATTTTGTGAGGAATATTACAGACATTTCACTTCGTCAAATGGTGAGTTGAAAGAACCGGTTTTTTATCAAATCTGTCTTGATGGTTAATATAAACCAATTATGAATTTCTCTATATTTTTTTTGCTAGGAAATACCGACAGCTTTTCTGAAAGACAACGGGATCGACATGGAGGAAGACATCGAGCTTTGTGATGAAAATGGAAAGAAGTGGCCATTGAAGATTGTGAATCGCAATAGACGACTCACCTTCTCGCAAGACTCGTGGCTGTGTTTCTGTGAAAGCCATGAGTTGAAGAAGACCTGTAAGTGTATATTCGAGTTTATTGTGAGAAGTAATGGGAAATGCAACGACATTCAAGTTCGTATCGTCCGTGGGAGTTTGCTTACTACTGTTACGAAAAGGAGTTACCAAGTTCTTGCTGTGTAACCTTTTAAAATACATTACTTTGTCGTTGTTGTTGTTATGAATTCTTTTGTTGTTATGATTGTTATTTCTTAGTTGCACAAGTTCCTTTCTGTGAATTAAAAACAAGATTTCCACTTTTTTTAACTAACGATTATATTAATTTAAACTAATCCTACCGTGCCTTCGCCCCTGCCTGTATACTATAGACCTGTAAAGACTTAAAGAGTATAGACTATGTGACTCATAAATAAATAAACGATAGATTCAAGGCAATAAGAACGCACTAAACGCAGGAAAATTTAGTTATTCAAATCTAAAGCTATATGGCACGTAGGAGAGCACATAGTTTGGTTGTGTCCCTTTCTTTTATACCAGTGAAAGGCCAAATCAGCCACCGGTTTCCATATAACCAATGGTACATAGGGCCCAAAGTAATTTCTAATAAACAATTTGAAACAATTTTTTTAATAAATAACTTGAATGCGAAGTTTCAACAATCCACTAAACTATGTCCTGTATATATAAATACACACGAGTGTGTGTTGTTTTTTAAAACTACACAATATCTTCTTTGTTCCATCACTAACAAAAAAAAAAAAAAAAAAAAAAACTTTCAGAGAGCTTTCTAGTTTTCTCTTTATGGAGTTTGTGATTCCGAAACGAGTCCAATCGGGGGATGGGGAAGAGAGTTTAAAAGAGGAACAAGTATCTAAGCAGCTACATCTGAAGTCGTCTGAAACGCAAACGCAGACGCTGAATAAAAAAGCGGTCCTCAACCGCATCCGCAACCACAAATGTATTCACAAAATCAAGAGTCTTCTTCACACCACCGCCGCTAATAACGGGTCCACCGTCGACGCTGATTACCGGTGGATTGATAGCGGCGATCTCTTCTCTTGTCCGTGAAATGCGGCAGAGACTTTGACACGTGTGTATGTCCACGACCACGTGTGTGTGTCTTGTGATTCTCTTGTCTCTCTTCCTGTATCGAAATTAATTTACGTTGTCTGCAATGTATTGTAATGATCATCATGAAATTGTAGATTTCGATGTTCACGTTCAATTGATGATCACCGTTCATTTCTATTATTGGGATTCGGACGTATGCAACGGATAAATTGGGCCAATTGGTTATAAAGTATCTTTGGGCTTTATTAAAGTCCAAGAAAGCCCAATAGTATAATCAATCTCGTCAGCATCCGCGACGACTATGGCAAAGGTTTTTTACTTGACAGTCTCGGTTCGAATTGTTGTACACGAAATCACCCAAAAAAAAACATATATTAACAACGAAAATTGAAGCATACGATTTTTTCTTTTCTTTTTAATAATCCAACAAACTACAAAACAGAAAAAAATCAAAGCAAAAACAAGAATGGAAATCCAGATTTGCACCCTTATACACGCAAAACCACCTTCATCAGTATTGATTGATCATTCATCATCACTCATCATAATATACTAATACAACAAGTCAGAATTGATAGGATCTCTCTCTACTCTAGACAAGCTCTTGCTCTCACGAAACAGACGACAAGAGCCGTCTTCGTTTGTAGTTGGCTTTAAAGCAAGCCTGTCTTAACCTCTTAGTCTTATCCCCAAATTCATAATCAGGAGACTCCTCAATCGTCTTCTTCTCCATCTCCAAAATCTCCAAAGCGTTCCTCAGCTTACTTCTGTTCCTTTCTCCCTCCGTTTTCTCTAAGTGATCCTTTCATAATTAAAAACCATGCATCTCATATAAGTCTATAACCACAAAATGTATAAGCAAGTCCATTGATTACATACATAATACATGTGTTTATACGGACGCACCTTGAGGTTAGTAATTATGCCCCGAATGCTCATAAGCTTACGGTGAGGCCAACGAGGAATTCCTAACTCACGACATCTCTTCTTCAAGAGGGTTACTCCAATGTTAAGCTCTTTGGCTGCTTTAGCTATGGGCATGTAGAAGTATGGTTTCATTGTTTCCCTTGACAACGTCTTGATGACTCCATCATCTCTGTATCTCCTCTTCTGGCTTGCTGATGTCTCTATCATCGTGTTATTATCTTCATGCAGTATTATCGCCATATTTGTATTTCCTATGCCATTGGTTCTTGATATTTCATCTCTTATTGGTTCAGCATGATTATTGTAGTAACCAGTATTTTCATTCCACGATCCACTTAACACATCTGCTAAACGACATAAGATTAGTACAATCCAAGCATATGCATGTATATATGTACGTACATTTATATGCGATCATATATATACCTTGAGACAAAATAGAGTTGGCTTCATGATCAACTGAAGCAGCCATGAACATATGATCAACAGCCGAAAGACTAGTTGAGATAGGATTAACATTATTGCTGTCTTGGAAAGAAAACCAAGTTTGAGTTTGAAAATCTTTTAAAGGGTTATCGAACGAACTGCAAAAACTCAAACAACCAAAAGAGCATATTAGATTAATCAAACAAATCATTTTTTTTCTTTAACAATTACACAGTGAACCCCTTACGACTTACTCGTAATCGAAGGAAAGTGATTGATCGAGTAACGAGAATAAGTTATCTTCTCGAAGGAATGATTCATAGTCGCCGGACTCTGACCAGCTCCGTGGAGTTTTGGGATCAGCCATTTCGATCGACAGTGGATAGATAAATATAGGAAGTTCAGTTAAGTTCTAGAAGGGGAAAACGAATCGTGTGTATATATATATGTATTTGGAATGTATAAATTCTTTAACTTGTATGTGTAGGTAGAGAAGTAGATGAGAAGTGGGAAGCGGGATTTTGGTTCTTGGAGATGGTGAGCCGTCAAAATCATTATATGTCTTGTGTAAGTTACGAGAGAGAGATGGTGATAGAAATTAATGATTAGTGTTGATTATTTTGGCTAATAGGGAAAAGTATTGAGTTAATCCTAATTATATCTACTAATAATAGGCCCTAAGTTGTAAACGTTCGAGAATTGAATAGGTTTAGATTCCCCATCCCATCACATACAATGCGAGTTCACAATATAAAGTATCTCTTGCTTGTTGACATCTTTCAAAATCTTTCCCTTTTTTCAAAACTAATTATGAAAATCTATATATTTACTCTTTAGGGACCATTAATTATTTGCGTGAGTATATGTATATAGAGATCATCGTCTATATCGGTCTGTATGAGTTGTCAAAAATCGAAGTGGAACACCGGAATTTAATTGGAGAAAATTCCATCAAATGATGAGCATAACATTGAATTAATAACTGAATTTTACTCTTTATAACTTAAACAGCCAGAACACATGTTCACCATTGAAACTCGAATTAAGACTATTAGCAAAAGTTCCTAACGAATTTAGTATACAGAGGTTTGGTTTGTAATCTGTTATCACATCAGGCGTGTAATCGACGCATTCATATATCCGCGAGACCAACTAACCATAATTTTTCAATTTCAATCATCACATATGTTCCTAAAATAGAAATACACAAAACGAGAGTATTGTCGAAGCTCCGTACACCATATAGACTAGCAAGAAGTGTACTGATTCTAAGTTTACATCGCTAAAGAACCCCCAAAATATATAAAATTAGGTACTTTCTCTCTAGTTTATTCATCAAACTCCATCTATACTCTAGGTACGTAATATATTGGTTTCTCCCTCAAGCATCTCTTACAGTTTTCTCTAGAACTTATATTTTATTTTTAAATAAAGCATATCCTCGCCGTGTATATGATTACCGAGCAAAATCTTTATCAGTTATGTCCACCACCGTCTTCTAGATGGATGCCTCCCTCTCAGTTCATTGTGCCACGGCTCGCAGGTCTTCTTCCGGCCGGCGCAAGCTCACTCGCCGCCTTGTCGTAAGCCTGCACCGCCATGTCATAGGTCGGAAACACTCCAAGCCACCTCCTTGCTCTCACACTCGGAACCCATATCTCCGCCGACCATTTACCTGATGGTTTCTTCCTCACTCCTTTGTGCTTCTTCTCCTTCTTTGTTTCTTCGTGCCGTGGGAATGCGCAACCGCAGCAACCGGTTATGTTGCAGAGAGGACAAGGGCCAGCATCCGGAGGCGGAAGAGCTTCGCTGGCGATCCAGTTTGATGATGACGCGTCACCACCTGGGCTGGATATCACTTGTCGCAAAGCAGAGACCATGATTCCATGCTCTTGATCTCTTGTTAAGTAAGGAGGTTGGGTGAAATTTGCGTTTTGATCAGATGATGGAGCATTTTCTGAATAATCCATTCTCGTGAGGTCAAACTAATTCAGTCCTCTCGGCGAAGGATCGAAAGTGTTGCGAAGATTTGAAAACAAACTGACGGGGTTTAGGGTTTTTATCGTAGGAAGGGGAAGTCTATGTGGCAGCCACGTCATTAGCGTACCGTTATGCGCACGTTACAAGTCAACTTGTGGGTCCCATGTGAATCTAATGTTTGGAGTTAGCCTTCGTACACGCGGCACGAAGTTGTTGAGTACTGCTTAGTATACTTACTATACCTGTAATAAATGACATTTCCAAAAGAAGGAAGGATAGTACTACTATATATCAATTTCAAATTTTATTCGTTGCACATTACTTAGAGTAGCAACTATCGATTTCAGGCCGGCTTCTATGTATAGATTTCAATCATTACACCGAGTAAACCAATTCACGCATGTCATTTGACTCATTTTATGCCAAGTTAGTGAATTTCTATAGATGTCACGTTTTAAATATATAACCCACATGTATGTAAGTTTTGACTTTTTCTAAACAGGGCCGGCCCACAGCACAGGCCACCTAAGCGGCTGCTTAGGGCCACTATTTTTTTCAAAATTTTATAGGCCACATATAATAGGTATATGCTGTACTAAAATTTGAGCCCATATATTTTTTAAAAAAAGAAATCACAAATATTAATTAGAAAACCTTAATAATTTATAATTCTCTAATACTATTTTTTTCTAAAAACGCTTATACTTTTATCGCCGCAATTTGATATACTGCACGTCGACGTCTCTGTTCCACAAAGTCATTGAAGTCAATCCAGGTAAACTGTTTTATAATTTACCAAATTGGTATATTCTACTTCTTTATAATCAACACAATAAACGATTTGCTGCAAGTATTTGAATATGACTTAATCGTTCTTTGTTATTAATTTCAGAAAAAAATGGTTCCTCTTTTGGGTAAAAGATCACATAAGCCAGGAAACTTAAGAAGAAGAGAAGAAAAGAGGAGAGAATTATTAAGGAAATCTGACGAGAATTCTATTTTGAAGTTTGTCTAAATCAGAAAGCCTGAAAATCTTACGGCTGGTGTATCAGATACTCAAACTCAGAGAAACAATGAAGAAGTTGAGAATGATTTGGATTTTGAGAATATGGATGCTCATGGCGAAGGAGAGATAGAAAACAGTGACACTGAAAGGGAAAAGGATGTATCTGAAAGTGAAAAAGGAGAAAACAATGAAGAGTTTGTCTCAGATATTTCTGATCCTGGGAATTGGACAAACATTGATCTGAAGATGAGAGATTTCTTGGTTGAGAAAGGTCCAGCGATAAGGTTATCAAGTGACTATCGATTTCCTAAGGATGGGAATGGTAGACACTTCTCTCATGTGTTCTACACAAGAGATATGATCAATGGAGAAAGGCACGACAGAAAATGGCTGGTTTACTCAAAATCTTTAGATAAAGCTTTTTGTTTTTGTTGTAAGTTGTTTAAACATGACAAAAAATCTCTTCAGCTAGCTGCCAGTGGGTACAGCGATTGGAGAAATCTGTCAAGGAGGCTCAAAGAACATGAAAGTAGTTATGATCACATTGTTTGTATGACTCGCTGGACAGAGTTAGAGATTAGACTACAAAAAGGTAAAACGATTGATAAGTATGCTCAAGAAGAAATTAGAAAGGAGAAGAATCATTGGCGAGAAGTACTATTGAGGATTTTTGCAGTGGTGAAGACGCTTGCAAAGAATAATTTGGCATTTCGTGGAGATAGTGACAAGATTGGAGAAGAAAATAATGGAAATTTTTTGAGTTTTATTCAAATGATTACAGAGTTTGATCCAGTTATGCGGGAGCATGTCAGGCGAATTGAGCAAGGAGAGATATATTCTCATTATCTTAGTCACAAGATACAGAATGAGTTGATAGAAATATTGGCCACTGATATCAGACTTAATATTATAAAGAAGATTAAGGCTTCAAAGTATTTTTCAATGATTCTTGATTGCACCCCAGATATCAGCCATAAAGAGCAGATGACTTTGATTATTCGGTGTGTAGATGTTTCTGCAACTTCAACTAAGATTGAAGAATTTTTTTTGACATATTTGAAAGTAGATGATAAATCTGGCGAAGGACTTTTCTCTACTCTTCAAGATGCATTGGTTGGTCTTGAATTGGATATTGATGATGTGAGAGGTCAAGGCTATGACAATGGATCCAATATGAAAAGAAAACATAAAGGAGTGCAAAAGAGATTGCTTGAGATTAATCCAAGGGCCTTTTATACACCATGTGGTTGTCATAGCTTGAATCTTGTGCTTTGTGATATAGCTTCTTCTTCAGAAAAGGCAGTGTCTTTTTTCGGAATCATTCAGCGAATATACTGTTTGTTTTCATCTTCAACAAACAGGTGGGATGTATTTAAAGAGATGGTGGAAGGTTTGACAGTTAAATCTTTATCTCAAACTCGTTGGGAGAGTCGTGTTGAGAGTTTCAAAGCAATACGATTCCAAGCGCCTGCAATAAGGGATGCTTTACTTTCCTTGGCAGACTCGGATGATCCAAAAACACGAAGTGAAGCTGAATCTCTTGCATTGAGTGAAACACACGGTATTGGAGGTTTTGAATTCTTGTTTGGCATGGTTATTTGGTATGATCTTCTATCTGTTGTCAACACTGTGAGTAAATCTTTACAGTCACAAGACATTGATATCAATGTCGCCATTGAGCAACTGAAAGGGCTAGTTTCATTTTTTCAGAAGTATAGAGAAACAGGTTTTGATTCAGCAAAATCTGAGGCTACAAAAATTGCAGACGCTATGGAGATCGAAGCCAAGTTTCCTGAGAAAAAAAAACGTTTTATAAAAATAAAAAAGAAGTATGATGAGGATCCTGGAAAAGTTGATGATAACCTTGAAGTATCACCAGAGGAGAATTTCAGAGTTAATTACTTCATCACCCTCATGGATCAAGCTTTGGTATCCCTTGAGACAAGATTTGAGCAATTCCAAAGGTATAAACAAACTTTTGGTTTTCTGTTTGATTTGAAAAAGCTAAAGTCTGTTGCTGCCGATAATTTAAGAGCATCGTGTATGAACCTTGAGGTTTCTTTGAAGAACGGTGAACAATCTGATATAGATGGGGATGATTTGTTTTCAGAACTAAAAGTTCTTCGAGAAGTATTACCAACGGAAGTAAGAAAACCTATTGATGTGTTGGACTTTTTGAGAAGTAGGGAAGCTTATTATGCAAATACATCGATTGCTTACAGAATAATGTTGACGATTCCGGTATCTGTTGCAACCGCTGAAAGAAGTTTCTCCAAACTAAAGCTCATCAAGAATTATTTGCGATCTACTATGTCGCAAGAGAGATTGAATGGATTAGCTTTATTATCAATTGAAAAAGCTATGGTTGAAGAGATAGACTA